ATGAATATGAAACCGCTTTAAAGTAACCTCAACCTGGTATCCAATTGATTCGATACTTGACACAAACCAACTAATGATATTAAGTGCATTGTGATCGATGTTTGTCATCAATAACTGAATACCTGCATTCTGCATAACATCAGATTTTCGAAATTAATGCCTAATTATTATTATTATTATTAATATTATCATTATTATCTTGTCATATTAATACACTGAACACTATTACACAGTCACTTCAATAATATTTGGAAATTATTTTGCCAACGTGCAAAATAATCAACATTTTAAATAGTGCCATATGTGGAGTGTGTACGAAAACATCCAGTGCACATGAGTTGTTCCAGAGAGTGGAAAAACTGATTCATTCATTCTTCTAGAGTTATTCATATGTCTTTGAACCTCGTCATTTATTCATTTACATCTTGGTCGCTTTGAAACTAGTTCATATGTGCACTTCTTACTTCACTTAGTCATACTTGATCTCATGTAGTTGACTAGCTCGTCTTCTCCACTTCGTTTTGCTTTGCTTCATATGCTTAGCATTCTCATATCTGTCTAAATGTACGATTGAGTGAAATAAATTTATTTATTAAAATGCATTCGGCTTCTTAGTACCTTCATTGCCACTGTAGCGATGTGCACTATATAGAATTAAACACAACAACTGAACATAAAGAAGATATGGTATGATTAAGATATTTATTCAAGAGGGTTTATGAAAACCACAAAATATTCAACTAAGAATATCCATCTCCCACAACTCAATCCCTTGAATAATTTAGGTTATGCGTGGTGAACAATCTTCGCATAAGAAAATAAATTCACTAAATAAGGACCACAAAGGCGCTAAACACACACATCGATGTCAATACAATACATCAAACCATTATTAAATCATTCTAAATTAGATCAATACCCATCCTGAGTTCAGCTCTAAATCTAATTAACGAATTCGCCCGAAATAGTGAAAGGAAGCACTGACGAAGAACTGAAAGACGATCATTTACAAGGTTTTCGGAACACATTCAACAACAGTTATATCCAAAAAGAAACTAAACCTGCCACAATCTCAATCACAAAGTGTTAAGTGGATAAGGGACACAACGAGGATACGATAAAGCCATTCGTAATGATAAACAGACAACTTAAACCACTTTTACTCCACTGAGCAGATGCAACTGTCAACAAGCTAATTTGGCATGACCTTTGAACACAGAAAGAAACTGTAGGTGGACTAATCATTTCTACGGTAAGGGAGATATCGTGTTTACAAGAATGTTCGCTAGATTATATTTTCATTAGGACCCATGAATTAAAAAATTAAGAGTCACATCGATGTCAACTTTGATGATACATTCATTAAACGACTGTTCAATATCAATCATTTCATAACAAATTGTTTGTACATATAAAATCTTCTATCATCCCCTACAGTTCTACTCAATTCTGCTTCTACGATTTCATCCTCAACATATTGACTAACTTGACTGACTGTTACTATCTACCACTTACAACTGTTGATCGATGGATTAATAGATATAGAGAGAAACAACTTTCAAAATCAATCAGACTTCTTACAATCACCAGAAAATTAAAATTCACTGTTGTTCAACAACTGCTCTATTTATTCATATTTTAATTTGCTGATGACAGTTTCACTTTTAATTAATTCAGATTAAAATTATTAAGTCATCATGATGAAAATTTGATTTCATTTTCTGATATCATTTCAAATATATATGTGTGCGTGTGTTCGTGTATACAGAGAAAGATCTCTCACTTTCTGTTGTGCTTAACAACGAAATAATTTCAAGGAATAATGGAAATTTTTCGCTGAATTTTTCTGTACAAACAAACAAACAAATAAAAGAATCAACAAGCAAATAAGAATTTAGTGGTGCTGTGATTTCTTTTCATTTAACTAGTTGATTATAACTATTGCATTATGCAATGCAATTGTACACAATCATAGCCTTAATTATGGTGTTATTTTTAATCAACGAGTAGATAAGTGAGAATATTCTAACAACCTCTGAGGTCATTGACTTGACTGCGCGCGCACACTCACACTAATTGACACACACTGACACACACGCACTCACGCACACACTGATACACACACACACACTCTGGAAAATGTGTATTTAAAACAAATTATATCAATGATTCGAATATTGATCATTGATGCAGATATTTAATCTTTCGCAAAGGTGACCTTTCAAGTGTGAACGTACATTCATATGCCCATTGATATATACCGCATAAATACGCATATGCATGCATGCACTCATACGGGGAATGATTGAGGACTATGTCGAAATATCCCGTCTTCGGAGTTCTCTCCAGTAATTGCAAAGATTCGATGATATGATTGCAATGAAGTATGTCTTGTGAGGAGATGAAGTGTTATGACACCAATTTGATTAATATTGTTAATAACATGAATGAATCAAGATATAATGGCTCTTTGAATGTGAATGGATACAGTTCAGGTGATATTGTTTTTTACGGCATAGTTTTCAGTAGAGCTTCCAAGTGTTTACTTCCTTTGTATTTGTTAATACATTGTAATTTTGATCAACGGGTATTTCCTCGTCCTCAGAAAATATCAACACTTATGATTTTTGGTGCTAATCAAATGAGTTGAAATTTGTATTTTTGATATCGTGTGACTTATTGTAAGTCACTTCTTCCGAATAGAAGATAAACATTGGAAATACAAATTTCTACTCATTGTCAAATCCCTATCTAATTACTCAATTTATTTGAAAGTATGAAATTTAATTGTAGTATTAAATAAACAATATATTTTAATTACGAATATATTTCGGGATTATTTTCTGCCTTCGTTTATTGACATTTTCTCTTTCTGACTTATTCCCCCGGTAAAGTTTTGTCAGTTGGTACTTTCCAATTTCTCCTGTTGTGATCAGTTACGAGTAAAACAATAATCACTCTTTTTAGACCGATTGCATTAAATCAAACTGTTTTATGCCGAACGACCTTGAGATATTGATCGTATTCAGTAATATTACTGAGTGATTACAAGTCTGAAACAAGAGTAACAGGTGTTTCAATACGGCTAAGGGATTTCATTCAGCTTAGCTCTTATATGCTGACACCTTACGTTCATTTATATGAAAACTAGAACAAAAAATAACAGAAGCATCAGAATGCAAAAGTTAGAATACACTGGTAACTTATCAAATCATTGATCACTCATTGTTCAATGTTCACTGTTCAATAAACTGTAAAGCCTATATTATTATTTAATATAGGGAATAAACATAATAAGGAGTTATTTGCTTACAGTTAGTAGAACATAAAATGATTTTATTTATAGCAGTTGATCATATGTTATGAACTAGTGTCAAGTTGTGATCATTAGTTTCAATTCTGTTTGATTTTCAATGATCGAGAGCAATTTTTAGAAAATAATCAAAACCAAATTCCATGTGAACGATTGCTAGGGGTTAGAATGTACAGATACTGAAATGTGAACGTTATATATATATTCTAAACTAGGAAAATGGGTACTTGAGTGAGAAGATGAGAGTGGAATAGAAGTTTATTTGGCTACGGAATCATACGAACAGCAATCAAATTGGTGTAGTGACACTCCATCTCTTCACAAGACATCATCGAATCTTTGCAATTACTAAGGAAAACTCCGAAGAAAGGATATTTCCACATAGTCCTCGATCATTCCCCATATGAGTGCATGCATCCATATAGGTATTTATGTAGTATATAGCAATAGCTGTATGAATGTACGTTCATACTTGAAAGGTCACCTTTGCAAAAGATCAAATATCTGCATCAATGATCAATATTCGAATCGTTGATATAATTTGTTTTAAATACACATTTTCCAGAGTGTGTGTGTGTGTATCAGTGTGTGCGTGAGTGCGTGTGTGTTAGTGTGTGTGTGTGAGTGTGCGCGTGCGCAGTCAATTCAATGACCTCAGAGGTTGTTGGATGAATGAATGAATATTCTCACTTATCTACTCGTTGATTAAAAATAACACCATAATTAAGGCTATGATTGTGTACAATTGCATTGCATAATGAAATAGTTATAATCAACTAGTTGAATGAAAAGAAATCACAGCACCACTAAATTCTTATTTGCTTGTTGACTCTTTTATTTGTTTGTTTGTTTGTACAGAAAAATTCAGCGAAAAATTTCCATTATTCCTTGAAATTATTTCGTTGTTAAGCGCAACAGAAAGTGAGAGATCTTTCTCTGTGTCCCTCTCTCTCTCTCTGTATGCACAAACACACACACATACATTCATATATATTTGAAATGATATCAGAGAGAATGAAATCAAATTTTCATCATCATGATGACTTTTTAATTTTAATCTGAATGAATGAAAAGTGAAATTGTCACAGACAGATTAACATTTGGATAAATAGAGAAGTTGTTGAATAACAGTGAATTTTAATTTTCTGGGGATTATAAGGTGACAGCTGAGTTTGCAGGTTGTTTCAATCTCTCCAGAAATAAATTAATCCAGTGATCCACCATTGTAAATGCAAAAGTGTCTCAATCAATCAAGGTAATCATTTGTAATGATTAAGTTATCTACTGGTTGTGAAATTGTGTGTTTTAGCAGGTTTTCATTAAAATATATTTTGTTTAGTGTAGGCCAAGGGGTGATGATTAACCGAGTGAACATCAGCTCGGAGATGTTAGTGTATAATAGTCAGTTGATAAGTCCTGACTAGGACGAACTGTGTATGCTGGTTCATCCCACTCATAGCCACTGTTACACTCTGTTTGAAATAGTCGAGTGTGTTACGTAATACTTCCCTTTGTCATTGTTATTTTTTGTCTATCATTTGCGTCCATCCTATTATCAATAATCTTGTTATTATTACTAATATTTTAAATTCTTGGTTAAATATGGCGGCCATATTAAATTGTCAATACAGATAAACAATGACTAATTCAATTTGTATCTTTTTTTAATGATTTTTTTTAGCATGAAATGATGTTTGATTATCCAAGTGATTATTTAGCTGAGAAATTACGTGAAAATTGGTTAACTCGTAGTACTACTATTGAACAATCCATATGGAATTTCCCAGTACAAGATGATTCATTGACAAATTTAGATTGGTTACAAGTAAGTCAGGATGATGAATATGCATGATGCTTAGTGATGTGTAAGTTAATATTTAAGAGAAGTGAGGTGAACATGATTGATAGATAAGAGAATACATTCATTATATTACGGGGTTGTCAAGAATGTTAAGTTACACATTTTTGAAACCATGAACTGATCAATGTTAGACCAGCATTAGAAACCTGGAAGCACTGAAAGACGGTCGTTTCGTCCAAGTATGGGATTCCTCAGCAGTGCGCCTCCACGACTCCTGCACCCCGTAGGATTCGAACCCAGGACCTTCAGTATTGTAGACGAGGAGGAGTCCCATACCAGGACGAAACGGCCGTCTTTCAGTGCTTCCAGGTTTCTTCTAATGGTGGTCTAACATTGATCGATTCTTGGTTTCAAAAATGTGTAACATTCATTATAGTCGAAAGCATCTCATCATCTACAACATACGGCATGTCATTACATATATTAATCAAATTGGTATAATGAAACTTCAGTTAAACAACATAACATACTATATTCATTAAAGATGTTCAATGTTATATTGATTAGATGAGAAATCTGAAGATAAGCGATAACGAACTGAAGGTGAAACAATATAACCCTCCTATCATGGACATGATTAGTTCATCATACATTCTTTCTGTGTGAAAAGGTCGTATTGAAAGCGATTGAACGCAAAGGTCTCTTTCAAACGATTAAAATTTTAACGTTGTCTGTTCAATTTTTCGAATATTTGTGAGTCATCCACGTTGTGTCCATTAAATACTTACATATATCAATATGTACTTACTTCAGGATTTAATTTGTTTGAAATCATCAATCAATCATTGTTAGACCACCATTAGAAACCTAGAAGCACTGGACAGTCGTTTAGTCCTGGTATGGGACTCATCATTGACAGTGCGCATTCACGACTCCTGCACCTCGCGGGATTCGAACCCAGGACTTTCGGTCTTGCGCGCGAACGCCTAACGTCTGGACCACTGAGCCGGTATCTAACGGTGTTAATGTCTAACTTCGATCAATTAACGATCTTGCACAACCTCATACACTGTCTTCGGTAGTTACTGTCTACACCCGAGCAGACTGAACTTCACTGGTCCCAACTTCCTACTAGAACTCAGAAAAGATTCCTCACGGAGCTAGTCACTAGTTAGCACAAGTAATTGCATAAATAGGTGGTGAAGATTTTAAATCATGAATCGATCAATGTTAGACCAGTATTAGAAACCTGGGAGCACTGGATGGCCGTCTAGTCCTGGTTTGGAACTCATTAGCAGTACGCATTTACTTTGTGTTGAATATGTACCGTAAACCCTTGCAGACAACCCTCTTTCAGTCTTTCCTAACTGCTCACTTCCCCAAGTACACGCGAATCCGTGAACTCAAAAGCGTATTGATCTACTTCTGATTAATTTTAGGAACAGACATTGGTAATACAAAGCATAAGCGCGAAAGAGAAGGGAATATAAAGAAGTCGAGTAAACCAACTCCATGAGATTTAGCATGACTTAGTATTGATCGTCATACAAAATTAAGCTGCTCTTACTCACTTACTTACTTAATTACGCCTGTTACCCCCAATAAAGCATAGGCCGCTCACCAGTTTTCTCCAACCAACTCTGTCCTGGGCTTCTGTCTCCAGTTCTGTCCAATGTTTGTTCATTCTTCTCATATCTTTCTCTATTTCTCGGCGTAATACGTTCTTTGGCCTTCCTCTTTTCCTTTTTCCCTGAGGGTTCCATGTGAGGGCTTGTCTCATGACGCTATTAGGTGCTTTCCGCAATGTGTGTCCTATGCACTTCCACCGTTTCTTCCTATTTTCTCCTTCACTGGAATCTGGTTTGTTCTCTCCCACAGTACGTTGTTGCTGATGGTGTCTAGCCAACGAATCCGAAGTAATTTGCGTAGACAACTGTTAATAAACACTTGTATCTTCTAGATGATGGCTTTGGTAGTTCTCCAAGTTTCCGCTCCATACGGTAGAACTGTCTTGATATTTGTATTGAAACTCCTGATTTTGGTTTTGGTTGAAAGTTTTTTGGAGTTCCAGATATTTTTCAACTGTAGAAATGCAGACCTTGCTTTGCCAATCCGTGCTCTCACATCTGCATCGGATCCACCTTCGTTGTCGATGATGCTGCCCAGATATGTAAAGGTGTTAACGTCCTCCAAGGCGTGTCCATCAAGAGTGATTTTGTTGGTACATGTTGTGTTGCATCGGAGAATTCTGCTTTTTCCTTTATGTATGTTAAGACCTACTGCTGCAGAGGCTGCTGCACTGGTCGTCTTCTCTTGCACTTGTTGTTGCGTGTGCGATAGAAGAGTCAGGTCAACTTCGAGGTCCAGACCGTCCAGCTGCGTCCTAGCTGTCCACTGTATACCGTACTTCCCTCCAGATGCTGACGTCTTCATAATCCAGTCGATCACCAGAAGTAATAATAATAATACATTAATTTCGCGAAATCTGATGTTATACAGACTGAAGATATTCAATTCTTGATTATAAACATCGATCACAATTCACTTAATATCATCGGTTTCGTTTCGCTTCAAGTATCAAATTAACTGGATACCAGATTGAGGTTATTTTGAAGCGGTTTACATATTCATCTCTCTCTTCATCTAGTCTAAATTACGCTATTTGTGTTGACATTGTCTAAGAATATTTCAGAGACACTAATGTCAGTAGATCCAATGAGTGGTGGTAGGCAATGTGCCGACAAGCGTTCATTACAGCCCTACATAATCACTCACTCATTCACTCATTGTAAGACTAAGTCGAGTTGATAAATGTAGAATTCACTGTATTAGGTAGGAAATATATCTTGTCTTAAAATCGATCACAGTAACGTAGCACTATTCTTCAACTTGATATTATCGCATGATTTTAATTTATTGTTCTGAATGTTTTTTCGCAGCGCCATTTATCTCTTGTTAAATCTTTTTCACTGTATTTCTTCTGAAATGTGGTAACTTGAATAGGCATTTTTTTCTGCGTTTTATCGTGATTTTGTACTAAACTGATGATAGTCTAATTATCTAAGGTGAATACTTGCTAATAGTGGAATTTAGGATGCGTGTTTGTCACGTTCTGTGACCTGCTAGTTCGTTGTACTTGCATCTCCAAAGTTAGTTGATGTTCATTGTATGAATTAAGTTGGTGATAATGTGGAATTTCATAAACTTGTCTTTTTACCTTATATCATCTAATGATCGAATTAAACCGATAAGCATGGTAGAAGGTGAACAACTTAAATCTTTATGCAGTTAAACAACTTATCATACTGTATTCTGGGGCAGAGTTTTGGAGGTTTGCGTTTTTACACATTTGAAATCATCAATCAGTCATTGTTAGACCACAGTTAGAAACCTGGAAGCACTGGAAGGTCGTTTCGTGCTGGTATGGGACTCACCGGCAGTGCGCATCCACGACTCCTGCTCCTCACAGGATTCGAACCCTGGACCTTCGGCATTGTAGGCGAACGCCTTACCATCGGACCACTGGGCCGGCATCCAACGGTAACTACCAAAGACAAATGGGTGAGGTCACGCAAAATCCCTAGATCAATCAGAGTTAGACATTAACACCGTTGGATGCCACCTCAGTGGTCTGATGGTTAGGAGTTCGCGCACAATACCGGAAGTCCCGAGTTCGAATCCTGCGAGGAGCAGGAGTCGTGGATGCTCACTATCACTGATGAGTCCCATACCAGGACGAAACGGCCGTATTTCAGTGTTTCCAGGTTACTAATGGTGGTCTAACAATGATTGATTGATGATTTCGAATACATACTGTATTCGTTAAAGGTGTTCAATGTTACATTATGGTTAATTTGATTACAGTCGATAGTATATTAACTCATCTTGAACAGACTAACATAGAAGAAAACATAGACGATTCAAAAGCTTGTTGAATTTTCACATATTTGTTGTGTCCAGAAGAGGTTTTTCAGGTTTAAATTAAGTCATTTCACCATTCAATATATTTAATTTGTTTTAAATGAATAATTTAGTTTCAGTTTTATTTGTTTTAATTTGAAGACCAAGAAATACTAATATGGTGACTAAAATTCCTAATAACTTATTGAGACCGTTAATTCACTCTTTTATCGATTGATGATTCGGCACTGAAATAATAGCCAAGCTAACCTTTTAAGCCTATTTACTTACCTACTTACTTACTTACTTACTTACTTACTTACTTACTTACTTACTTACTTACTTACTTACTTACTTACTTACTTACTTACTTACTTACTTACTTACTTACTTACTTACTTACTTACTTACTTACTTACTTACTTACTTACTTATGCACTTACTTACTTACTTACTTACTTACTTACTTATGCACTTACTTACTTATGCACTTACTTACTTACTTATGCACTTACTTACTTACTTACTTACTTACTTACTTACTTACTTACTTACTTACTTATGCACTTACTTACTTACTTACTTATGCACTTACTTACTTACTTACTTACTTATGCACTTACTTACTTACTTACTTACTTACTTACTTATGCACTTACTTACTTACTTACTTACTTACTTACTTATGCACTTACTTACTTACTTACTTACTTACTTACTTACTTACTTACTTACTTACTTACTTACTTACTTACTTACTTACTTACTTATGCACTTACTTACTTACTTACTTACTTACTTATGCACTTACTTACTTACTTACTTACTTACTTACTTACTTACTTACTTACTTACTTACTTACTTACTTACTTACTTACTTACTTACTTACTTACTTATGCACTTACTTACTTACTTACTTACTTACTTACTTATGCACTTACTTACTTATGCACTTACTTACTTACTTATGCACTTACTTACTTACTTACTTACTTACTTACTTACTTACTTACTTACTTACTTACTTACTTATGCACTTACTTACTTACTTACTTACTTATGCACTTACTTACTTACTTACTTACTTACTTATGCACTTACTTACTTACTTACTTACTTACTTACTTATGCACTTACTTACTTACTTACTTACTTACTTACTTACTTACTTACTTACTTACTTACTTACTTATGCACTTACTTACTTACTTACTTATGCACTTACTTACTTACTTACTTACTTACTTACTTACTTACTTACTTACTTACTTACTTATGCACTTACTTACTTATGCACTTACTTACTTACTTACTTACTTACTTACTTACTTACTTACTTACTTACTTACTTACTTACTTACTTATGCACTTACTTACTTACTTACTTATGCACTTACTTACTTACTTACTTACTTATGCACTTACTTACTTACTTACTTACTTACTTACTTATGCACTTACTTACTTACTTACTTACTTACTTACTTATGCACTTACTTACTTACTTACTTACTTACTTACTTATGCACTTACTTACTTACTTACTTATGCACTTACTTACTTACTTACTTACTTATGCACTTACTTACTTATGCACTTACTTACTTACTTATGCACTTACTTACTTATGCACTTACTTACTTACTTACTTACTTACTTACTTACTTACTTACTTACTTATGCACTTACTTACTTACTTACTTACTTACTTATGCACTTACTTACTTACTTACTTACTTATGCACTTACTTACTTACTTACTTACTTACTTACTTACTTACTTACTTACTTACTTACTTACTTACTTACTTATTTGCTTACTTACTTACTGACTTACTTATTTACGAACTTATGCCTGTTACCTACGATGGAGCATAAGCGGTCGACGACCAGCATTCTTCAACTTAGTACTCTGTCCTTAGCCTTTCGTTTTTACTTCTGTCCAACTGTTGTTCATTCTTTTCAGCTCCGTCTCTATTTTTCGGTATAATGTGTTCCGTTGATCTTCATCTTTTCCTTTCACGTTAAGAGTTCCAATTGAGGGTTTGTCTTGTGATGCAGTTTGGTGCTTTCCCTAATGAGTGTCTTTTCCACTTCTAGCTCTTCTTCTCGATTTCTTCCGAAGCTAGATAATATCAAAACGCAGTATGTGAAATGTTAAGTTTCTTAGAGTGACAATAACAAACTTAAAATCGGTTATTCTGTCAGCATAAATATTTCAGATCTATAGAAGATTCAATACACACCGAATAATTTAACGGTGATCTTACTAACTGAGATATTTAATGTAGTTTGGATAAATTCAACAAGTGAACAGGCATCAATTTCACCAACATTGTTTGCACAAAGTGCTTACAAATGTCAATAAGTCAATCAATCAATCAACAGCAACGTAGTACTTCATACGTACGTACGTAGGTACGTAAATCAGTTCTAATCCCATTTTAGTAGATATAATAGAAATATTAGCGGCAATAGAGAAGATTAGGGCTTGAAGACATTATTCAACAAGTATTATTTGCTGAAAGATTAGGGTTTGACGATATTAGTCAAGAAGTAGAATCTAGTGAAATAAACTTAAAAAGAGAAAGATAGAAGTGATGAAGAATTCAGAAGTTTAGGATTTTAGAGAATACAAAGAATGAATGCACCTACGCCATTGCAAACGGTTTTGAGCTATGTCATTCAAGGTCTCTAACCAACGATTATTATCATCTCGCATGCCACAACCAGGTAATCGACACCTACCAACATGACTCATTCCACTTGTCAGTGATTTCATATATTTCTGCCATTTCATTGTTGATAAAAGCATATAATCTCTCCTTAAAACACAAATATTTTGTTCAATATTCATTGTATAAATTCATAATTGACTCAATAAAATAAAAAAAACAAATTAAAAAAATTCAAGGACGAAAGTGTAACCCTAATCAAACAAACAAACAAACGAACGAAAAATAATTGGTTCACTATGAAAACAACAATAAACTCTAACAAACAAACAAACTAAAAAAGAAACAAGTTAGTTATTGTTTAAACGCTGTTTTTTTCTGTAAAGATATTTCAGGTCAACTTACTTTTTTTTTGTTTTCAATAATAATTGACTGATAACTTCGATCAAAAAACTATGTGCATTACGGGGTTATTGTGAAGATTGTTAAGTTACACATTTTTTTTTGAAACCATGATGAATCGATCATCATTGTTAGACTAACACCATCAGAAGAAACCTGGAAGAAGCACTGAAAGACGGCCGTTTCGTCCTGGTGTATGGGACTCATCAGTGTGCAGTGCGCATCCACGACTCCTGCAGTCCGCAGGATTCGAACCCAGGACCGGTGTCTCCCGAAGGCTGTGTATGAGGTTGCGCAACTCTGTGAATTTGATCAAGTTAGACATTAACACCGCTGGATACCGGCTCAGTGGTCTAACGGTAAGGCCGTTCGCGCACAATACCGAAAAAACTATGTATCGTTGTGTTGAATTATGTTGTCTGATATTGAAATCTTCTTGAATTAGTCATTGTTAGACCATCATGAGAAACCTAGAAGCGTTGGGTGGCTGTTTCGTCTTGATGTAGAACTCATCAGCGCTTGGCATCTACGATTCCTGCTACTCGCAGTGTGGTGTGAGCTACTTATAAGTAGTATATGACGTGAGTGTCTACGTAATGTCTGGCAGCAGAAGATGGGGGAAGATCAAGAAAGGAAGAGTTAGAACACAATGGAATTCGTATGAAACGCATGAATAGTGAGTGACAATGGATTGTTGATGTTTTGCAACAGGAACAGTCCGGTTCGATATGACGGACTGATATTTTGCAAATTAACGATTTACGATATGGTTTCCCTATTTTACTGAGTAACCCTGTAATTTTCGTTAAATACAATCCAGTTGCCACAACTGTGTTCTTGTTCACTGTAGCAGGAGTCGTACCCGGGACCTTCGGTCTTGCACGCGAGTGCTTAATCTCTTAATCATTGATCCAGAAACCAATGGTATTAGTGTCTAACTCTGATCAATCTAAGGTTTCGTGCAACCCTACACGGTTGGACTCCACTCGTCCTCACGGAGTTAGTCACGAGTGAGCACATTTCACGATTTTTCATTATCGGTTTCCTATAAGTTGTAGTGCCTCCATGTATAGTCGAGTTCGCTTACATCTAACTTGGTTAAGCCTTTTCGATTAATTTATTTAACTAAGCCATTTGTATAATAATAACTTAAATGTACTATTGGTATTTTTTATTGTGTGGTTTGTATGAGCTGGTATGACTGAGCATTGCTCAACGCCTACGCGCTTACTCATCCTATTCGCTTTAATATTGATCTCTTAAATATCACGATGACTCAGACATTTTCCTATGTATATTTATATACGAACATTTTAATCTTATTAATTCACTCTCACATTTGCCCATTCACTCGCTAGTGTGCCTGCCCGGTCTGCTTGTGGTATGCCCAAAATAAACGTATTCAACACTTCGAGTTTACTTTCTGATTTATAAGCCGTCAGACACTATTTAGTAACGATTGCCTGGACGAGTTAATTACGAAGCTTAAGAACACGTCGAAATTGGCCACCGCAAGGTGATCTAACTGTAGTGAAGGAGAACACAGGTGAGGGCAACCGAATTGTATTTATCGCAAATTACAGAGTTAATCAGTAAAATAGGAAAACCATATCGTAAACGGTTAATTTGCAAATCTTCAATCCATCATCAATCCATTGTCTGACATTTCAATATTCATGCGTTTCATACAAATTCCATTGTGTTCCCACTCTTCTTACTTTCTTGATCTTCCCCCATCTTCTGCTGTCAGACATTACGTTCTCACTCACGTCATATACTACTTATAAGTAACGCGCACCACACTCGTCCCCCCCCACACTGATCATTTTTGTTTATCAGTGCACTCTGTTAAAAGTGCCTGTTTGTTGAAAACAGCCAAAGATGGCCTAAACAAGATAAATTCATTTTCTAATTATAACTTTACATAAATTCAAATTTATAGTCTTATTTACGTCATTCTTATTTTGTCTTACTTATTAAAATACATTTCCCTATCAGAATTTCAATATTCATGAGTACACATCTACAGGTGTACCATTTTCTCCACGACGCTCCGCATCCTCATTACATTTATCAACTACTACAACTATTACAACAACAACATCGACACACAATTCATTATCACAGCATTCTTATCAAACACACAATTCCCATTCAACAACATTCAATCATTATAAACGAAATGATGATTGTTCAATTTCCAATGGATTACAATATCGTCATGAAACGGACAATTTACCATTTGTAAATTATTTGAAACATTTATCATCATGTAACAACAACAACAACACCAATACAATGACAGATTACACTTCTTATTCTACTCCCAATGACAATACTACTTATAATCATCACAATCATTTAAGTAGTATTGGAGTAATGCACAAACAATGTAAAAATTCATCGATACACTATTTAAATAACACTATACATTTCTATCCAACCAATAATCCTGCTCGACTAGATCATACTCCAATCAGTAGTACAATGAACACTGCAATTCAGCATCACACATTACGTAATACTAATAACAATAATGGTGTTTATTATTATTATTATTATAGTGGTCAACCCACGTTAAATACTGTTCAAATGAACTGCCATAATTCATATCCCAGTATCAACAATCATAATGAAGATTATACCAATGGTCACTTACTTAAAACTCCCTCACATCATGATACTACTAGTAACATTAATATTATGAATCATTCCAACCCAACCTACATTTGTTCATTACGTAATGGAAACACATTGAAATTGCAACATTATTATACCGTCGGTTCAAATAACGCGCCAAATCTATTTCAAACAAACAATCAACCATTGATCAATGGAATAGATATGAATTTAACGGGCAATTCATCAACTACTCTAATCAATAATCATAATCATAATCATAATAATAGTAGTCATTTGTACTACAATCCGTTCAATACTACTGACAGTAGTAATAGTAGTAGTAGTAGTACTAGTAGTACTAGTAGTAGTAATAGTAGTTGTAATAATATTATTGACAATAATAGTAATAATAATCCAGATATTGATTATACAACATCGTTGAGTCATCATAATTTATTAGAGAATAATGAAAATTATCAACATCTCACACAGAACAATCGTTTATTTGTAAATTATGATACTATGACATTGGATGAGAAAAATGCTTATCAATTTAATGAAAATTGCCGACCTGTATTCAATGCACATACATTAATTTATATGGCAATGAATGCATTGAAAAAGAATAAAATTACATTGAATGATATATGTGAATGGATTGAAGTACATTTTGCATTTTATCGTTGTAAAAAACAAGATAAACTATGGTGGCAAGTAAGTTTACAGATGGTACGGTTTGGTGAATATTGGCGCTACAAGTGTGGTTTTTTTTCTTCCGTCGATTATGTCAATTCAGCATCAAAACTTATTCAGGTGTGTGTGTGTGTAGTTGAAATATTTACGACCAATCGGTTTACATGATAAAGAAATGTACAATATGAGACATCAAGATGGCTGACGATATGTACTGGAAATAGTCACCACTAAGAGAATTCTCCATATTGTATGTAGGATCCAAAATGAGGTTTGGAATGAGGAATAACTAACTGTCTAGGTAGTTTAGATATGCGTCTTACCCAGTTGAAATCCAAAACAAGTGATTTGGGTAAATAACAGTTCTAATATTCATCATGAATATAAATATATCTTTCATTACTTACTTACTTACTTACTTACTTACTTATGCACTTACTTACTTACTTATGCACTTACTTACTTACTTACTTACTTATTTACTTACTTACTTACTAATTTACGAACTTATGCCTTAAGTTGATTCGTTCTAGAATTACTTACTTACATACTCACGCCTGTTACCCCCAACGGAGCATAGGCCACCCACCAGCAGCATTCTCCAACCAACTCTGTCCTGGTCTTCTCGCTCCAGTTCTGTCTAATGTTTAATCATTCCTCTCATATCTTTCTCTATTTCTCGGCGTAATGTGTTCCTTGGCCTCCCTCTTTTCCTGTTGCCTTGAGGGTTCCATGTGGGGGCTTGTCTCGTGACGCAGTTAGGTGCTTTTCGTAGTGTGTGTCCTATCCACCAACTCCACCGCTTCTTCCTGATTTCTTCCTCCACTGGAATCTGATTTGTTCTCTCTCACAGTTCGTTCATTTCCTAAACAATATTACCACCCAGTTATTCCACCAGCAATTGTTCAATTATTCAAATAAATGATATTCTATCCCTCTTGGATAGATCAGATTCGCTCGACGGATAATATTTGCTTGCTTTATAACACACAGTGTTTCCTATTCTGCAAAAGTGCTTCAATTCACAATCAAAATGCACCATTCCAGTCAGTAGCAAGCAATCCAATCAATAGAGGAACAAATCAATATAGCTGTCGCCATGAATAAGTATCAGTTTAAACAATATAAATGCAGTTCAGAAAGAAACATAGAAACTCATTGTCATCAATGAACTGATGCTTCTAAGCTTTTAACCATCAGTCACAAATTCTCACTATTTGAGAATTTTATTCAGTCCATTACGAAAGGAAGAGTTGATGGACATGAGTTTCATCCTACTGAATTCTCACTAAAGATCAGACAAATGGTATGCTGATTAGTATTCACTGATTAATCAAGGGTAAATATCTCAGATTTAAAAATGATTATTTGTTGAGAGAAATAAAGTATAATCATAATTCTTTTAGCGATGACACAGTAAAATGAGGTTGAATCTAGAGTGAAGCATCAGTTCCTTGAAAATCACTGACACACTTTATTGAAGAATGTCAACAACCTGTAAAACCAACAAATTCATGGCTTATAGGTTAGTTATCTAGGAGTAACAGAAGTGTATCAAGTTTCAGGTAGTGGCAAGATCTCATGATTATGCTTAACTAAGGGATATTAGCTAGTTACTTATATACGCCTGTTACACCTAGTAGAGTATAGGCAGCCGACCAGCATTCTTCAACCTACTCTGTCCTGGGCTTTTCTTGAGATGGAGAGAAGATTTGTAGCTCAGGTGAATGATTGTGGTGGTGGTGTTTAGTTCTCTGAGCTAGATGTTTTGGTTTTGGAGCTTTCATTGTTCTTCTGAACAACATCATCAAACTATCTGAAGTTTGTGCTGATGATGATGTTCAGAAGAACAATGAAAGCTCCACAACCAAAACATCCAGCTCAGCGGGCCTTCCTTTCTAGTTCTGTCAAATTGTTGTTTATTCTTCTCATGTCTGTCTCCATTTGTCGACGAGTAATGTATTCTTTGGTCTTCCTCTTTTCCTCTAGCCTTGAGGATTCCAAGTTAGGGCTTGTCTTGGGACGCAGTTTGGTGCTTTCCTCAATGTGTAATATTAGCTAGTTGTTTTCATTGTAACTAGAATGTTTTGTAAATCTATTTACTTTAGGGAGCGATTTACCATTACACTTTCAATCAACTTACATCTGAAAATTTTACATGAAAATGTAGAATACTGAACGTGATATATTATTGAATTAAATCTCAAAGCAGTTGCACGAATCAGTTAGAACTCAGACTCAGTAGCTAGGTGAATAACGCAATGGCGTCTGAGGCAAATGGTTCCGGGTTCGAGTCCTGCGGTGAACGTCAACTGGGAAATGTAGACATATCTAGCAGACGAGTCATACATAGAACGAAACGCTCATCGTGTATTTCAGTGCTAACCAAGATATATTTAGTTTACATAAATAAGGCTAGCGCGTGGAGGGATATAACTGATTTACAACGGTTGATTTCAATTTCTTCTGATATGAAAATTCGTTTGAGGTGTTTACATATCAACTGAATAAAAGTATCAGTGTTTTGATTCAATCATTTCGGTAGTATATTGTTCAAATATAATGAATAGAAGTTGAAAATGTATTGAAGATCATTTTGTCACTGTATGTTCGCACCACGTTTTCAGTAAATGTGACGTGGGAAGCAGTAGAGAAACTGCCTGTGTTCGGAGATAGTCAGTAGGAAACCCACAGCCGAGATGTTGGGTTACTAATTCTCCATCATCAAGAAATATCCGGATGTCTAAGTAACCGATGCTCCCTATGGTGATAAAACTACCATTAACAACATGCCCAGTTTCAGGGTGTTTTCACCAGGCTATTCAAGCCTCCATTAAACTCTTTTAGGAAGTTGATATTTACAAAAGATTGTTTATTGAGTAGCATTATCTATTTTTATGCTTATCTAGTCCTTAAATATTGATCGATTTCTATCAATCAAGTTTAACTTGGACAATAATTTAAGTGAGTATAAATCAAATGAGCTACTTCGATCTCTTAGTTGGTTGCATACAGTCAGTAGGAGGCCGTAGAACTAAGTGACGCATGTTCTAATCTACTGAAGAACATCAGTTCCCCAAAACATTGCAAGTACGCCCTGCTTCTGTGACAACTATCATAAACACTAGGTCCAGGATCTTCTTCCAACTTTGTTCAACCAGCCAACAGCTCGACATAGTTCACAGGACTTGGATTCACTTAGACTAGCGATCATACTGAAATCTGAAGGATAGAATGCATTTAGTACTTTAAAGACCAAACAAACATGTATCTGGTCCTTACTCAATGATCTCCCAATGGTGCATTGGTGAAATATACTACAGTTCAGTTTAAAAATCTTAGTCACTTGTATGAATATATATATACTTCTTGATGTAAATTATGGGTCAGCGAGATGGAAGTCATTAATGGTTAGAAACCTTGAATGACATGGCTCAAAATCGTTTGCAATGGTGCAGATTCATCCACTCTTTGTGTTCTCTCAAATCCTAATCTTCTGGATTCGTCAACATTCAAACCTTTGTCTTTCTAAACTTATCTCTTTGAATTATACTTCTTGAATAATATCTTCAATTCCTAATCTTCTCCTTTACCAGTAATACTTCTACTATCTCTACCACTACGGGATTTGAATTGACATTTGCATCTCTGTGTTAATGTTTTATGGCAACATGAACTGATGTACTTATGTACGAAGTTCTACGTTGCAGCTGACTGATTGACTGAGTGATGCAAATTATCTAGCATGAGCAGCGTTTCACTCCATCGGTTAATGCCCTGAGTTGATTGTCTCCTCATAGCTACGAACTTACTTGAGCTGTTTACAGAAATTTATTTACTAGACAGTAAAAGATAGATTTTAGTTGTGAAAGTAGTGAACTTGACAGGTGTTAGATGTATATGAGCAATTGTAACATACTAGTTGGCCACATTATTCAAATATATTGCTTACTGAGCTACCGAAAAAGACAACTAGATTATTGTGGATCTTTGAGACCTGGCAGCATGAGCATTGAGCTCAAAGAACAAGATGAATGGTCCTTGATGCGTTAGCCCGATAGCAAATTAAGACTTGTCCTTCCTTACGTCGTATGGAATAAAACAGAATTTATTCAGAGGCCAACTGGAACGAATATCCTACCATTCTCATCCCCTTTTACAGTCAGTAGTACGGCATCACTGCTTTCTAATCGCCCTGCTTGATAAGTTTCCTAGCCAGTACAGCTTGATTCTGTCATTAAAATATTCGATTCCTAACATTATGTTAAAACAGTAGTAACAGTCAATATCTTAGCAGTTTAACTTTCTAAATTCATATCATAGTACAAATATGGTACAGCACCCTTGGGATAACATTCACAGTGATTAATATTCACCCTAACTTTGATTAACTGACTGTACCTTATTTGTTTATACTAGTATACATATATATACATATATACATATATATATATATATATATCCTCAGATAGAGAGACACTGATTTATCGATTTCATTCTAATCTAGGATATTATTCGTAAACATCTTACATCTAGTCGATGTTTTCAACGTGTTCCAAGACGTAAAGAAGAACTACATAGTCGTAATGATCTATGGCGTATTCATCCAGAATTACAAAAACAATTATTAAACAATAGAATTACTAATCAATTCTTATGTGCTTGGCAAAATCAAACATCACCTAGATTAACTGATTTAAATGATATCATAGAACAAAATATTAACAATCATAATGATACTACTACTAATAATAATAATGATAGTAATATATTAAATCAACCAATAAATTCATCATTATCAAATTTAACAGAACAAGAACAATGTGATCTACATGAATTGTTCAATGATCAAGAAACGCATTCAATATTCAATGATCATTTCTATTATGCATCCACGTCATCAATTTCATCATTCGATTTGAATGATTCTGTTGACAATAATGATAATAATAATAACGATGATGATCCCAATCAAACTAACAATCCTAGTAATCATAATCATGGAACCATTGTGGAAGAATTATTGAAAGCTAGTGGTTTGAATGAAATTCCACCATTGAATGATGAATTAATCGATCCGCTGGATTTAACTATTCATAGTGTGAATTCACGTTTAACAAATGATTGTTGGTGGTCGAACAATCCTCCTGCTCCTCCTCAACAGCATCCACATCCTAATCATCTAAATGATATAGATCAAGATTGTTTATCTGAATCAATGACTAATTTCATTAATTCAACATTGAATCAATTTGAAAATAGAAAAGAAGTTGATGATGATGATGATGACATTGACAATGAACAGTGTACTACTGATGTTATTGAGGATGTTGATGATACTGATAATAATGATGACTATGAGAAATTGCTACAAATTGATCAACATGAAGATGTCAGCCGAATGAAACAACTACATACTGAAATGATCACAAATGAATTATCGTTATGTTGTCATACAACAGCATCATTTCTATCGAATGATATGACTGTATTATTATCATCACCAAGATTATTATCGTTGACAAGTCAGATAGAATTAATTTAAACATCTTCAATTATTGTAGATTCATGTATGCTTCCAATGAAGATGATTATGCATTTCTAACATGTATAAATGATGATATAGTACAAGAGACTACTGATAAGCATAACAGTAGTCAAATTAAAAATAGACAAAAAAAAATCAATAATGAAGTCAAAGTAGATTATCGTAATCAAACCACTTTTACCGTGATTAATTTTGTTTTATTTAACTTAGTGATTCACTTGAATCCTTTTGAAATGACTCAATTTGACCATGAGATATCGATCATATTGTATTGAATGGTATCAATGATTGATTACAAATGTCTTACTTACAATATTGATAAGTGACCACAGAAGAATATATTACACTTTGTTCTGGTCAGAGTTAGGATTTTCATTTATCTCCCTTGAATATCGATTTTTTTACCGGTCATTTCTATCGGTGTTTTTGAATGCCTTCTTATTGATAACATTCAAATGATCGTACTGTTTACAACAATTAGTATAAAGTATTCTACTATTACATACAAGCAAATGTACTTCTACGTATTGTTTGTAAAGAAGAAAATTTTTTTTTCGTTTCAATGAACTAGGAAATAATTTTTAATGTTATGACAAAATTTTACACAAACAAACAGACACTGATGAGATATGTAGGAAACATTGTGCGTTTTTTTTTAAAAAAATAAAAACATTTATGCTTGGAAATGAATTTCTGATTAAACTCTTCTAGTCTTCATCCTATATATCAGCCAGAATCATGAATCGATCAGTGTTGGACCATCATTAGAAACCTGAAAATCACTGAACAGCCGTTTCGTCCTGGTATGGGATTTATCAGCAGTGCGAATTCACGACTCATGCAACTAGCAGGATTCGAAGACAGTGTGTGACGTTAGACATTACCAATATCGGCTTAATGGTCTAGAGGTTAGGCATTCGCAAGCAAGACCGAAGATCCTGGATTCGAACTCTGTGAGGTGCAGGAGTCTTAGATGAGCACTATCAATGTATCCCATTCCAGGATGAAATGACCGTCCAGTACTTCCAGGTTTCTTTCTACTGGCAGTCTAACATTGATCGATTCATGATTTCAAAAACTAACTCAACAATCTACACAACCCCAATAATACATATCAGCTGAATGTACTAAACATTCTGAGAAAAGGCTAGTAAGTGAGTGTTACATCGAGACTTTAATTCATAAAATAAAAACCCATACCAAAAAACTTTGAAGATCAAGAAGCGCTGAATAACTGTCTCGTCTTTCTGCGAAACTTTCTGTTAGCACAAATTCATGATCTTAATAGATATTGAGTATAAGACCACATGTTTGTTTTCTGTAAAGATAATGTTGTACAACTGAAGATGTTTAGGTAACTTGATGAAATACACTCTCCCATTGCATGTGGAAATTAAAAGTAGTCATACTATTAACAGAATGACAGGATGGGTTTATAAGAAAGAATCTACGCAAGTAAAGTACCTACCTGGACAAGAGAGTACATGCATTAACTCAGCTTTTTACCTATCAGTGTAAGAGAAACCTGATAAAATCTCTTAGTGAACGAATATTTACTATATGTTCTTATCGATATAGTTGAAGATGAGTTAAACACCCTACGGAATACACTCAGGAAAAACGGATACGCTGAGAAGTATCTTAACTGAAATCGGTGAAATACAAACAGTGAATAAGAAATCCCTGTCCCATATACTTAAAAAATTCATTGGTGACGCACTTAGTGAGATAATAATTCAGTGATTGCGTAGGGCGACTGAAAGAAAACCCAACCTAACTGACAACAACAATGTAGTTACTTCTAGAGTCTGTCAACCAACCAAAACACTTTATGCAAACTACATTTTTGAACATAGTTCAAATGGTTCAGCGAGGTAAGAAAGACTTCAAACTTTACGATTGTCGACAGCAACAGCTTCCCTAAGATAGAATAATTTATATCGAGAACCAATCAGAATTAACCAAATGAAAAGGCCATTTAATGACCTTTAGAAATGTCCTGAGGTATCAATAAGGTGAAATGTTAGCTTATATAGACAAGTATTTTTACGTATGTATGTATGTTTACACCTCAAAAGAAAAAATATCTGCATCAATGATCAATATTCGAGTGATTGATATAATTTGTTTTAAATACACATTCTTCAGAGTGTGTGTGTGTGCGTGCGTGCGCAGCGAAGTCAATGACCTCAGAGGTTGTTGGATGAATGAATGAATATTTGCACTTGTCAACTCGATAATTAAAAAATAACACCATAATTAAGGCTACGAGTGTGTACAACTGCTTTGCATAGTGCAATAGTTATCTGGTTTTCTTATTCATGCACAACCTACCATTTATATTAAAAAGCATAACAATAAATCCTTGTTTACATTGGAGACGAACTAATGATAATACTATATAACAGAGATTGTGATCTGATCAAAATTAGACCACCACCGAACAATCGTTTGGTTAGTAGACATTCACACCAATGGATGCCGGTCGAATGGTCAAAAGTATATGGGTTCGTGAGAGTGACTGAAAGTCCTGTGTTCGATACCAACCCAATGGTTTGTGGGTGCGATCTGTTGAATAGTTTCGTTCGTACTAGGACGAGATGGTCATCCGGTGATTTCAGGTTTCTAATGGTGGGATTAAACAGTGATCACTTCATGATTTCAATGGAACTCAAGAATCTCCACAACCTTATCATGAAACCATGAATCGATCAATGTTAGACCACCATTAGAAACCTGGAAGCACTGGACGGCCGTTTCGTCCATCTTCACAACCCCGTAATACAAATTACCCGTGCACACTAGTGACTAGTTTGGTGAGGAATCTTCTCCGAGTTCTAGTGAGAAGTCCATGACCAGTGAAGTTCAACCTGTTCGGGTGTAGACAGTAACTATTACCGAAGACTGTGTATGAGGTTGCGCAACTCCGTGAATTTGATCAAGTTAGAAATTAACACCGTTAGAAACCGGCTCAGTGGTTCAAATGGTTAGGAGTTCGCCTACAATACTGAAGGTCCTGGGTTCGAATCCTGCGGGGTGCAGGAGTCGCGGATGCACACTGTGGAGGATCCCCATACCAGGACGAAACGGCCATCCAGTGCCTGCAGGTTTCTAATGGTGGTCTAACATTGATCGATTCATGGTTTCAAAAAACTTAAAAATCTTCACAACCCCGTAATATTACTTATCATGAAAGTTTGATCAATAGTCGGTTGACCAGGTCGAATGGTTAGTTGTCGACCGATCATCCATAAACTAAGTATACTTTATTTAGATTGAATGGTTTCGCATTATAAATTACTAAAGACTTAATTCTCTGTTCTCAATAGTTTCTCATCTAAGTCGAAATGCATTTATTTATATCAGACATTATTTTTAGTAGTAAATGGTGTTGAGTTCAATTAGACCGAATCATGGTAATTTAGTCACCTGCTAGCAAATAAGATCACTTCAGATTTGAGGTATTTTAATTACGACGCAATACAGATTCCCAACGTTAGGCAGTCAATAGTTTATCTACACACTAAGTGTGTTAGAAAATGATGAAATTTTCTGACGGATTTCATTGAATAATTAAAGGCCCACTTTTTCTGGTCTATGCGTTTGATCGGTATGCCCTCCAGATGTAAAAGTTCTCTTCATTACTGATCTGTGTCAACGCTGGAACTAAAAGTAGGCAGTAAAATAGTTGTGTGTGTGTATGCGTGTTGATGACTTCACTTAACTTGGAAGTTACATCAGCTTTGATTGCCTGAAGTCTGATGGAACCTCAGAACGAATTCAGAAAGCACATTTAGCTTTGGCCATTTGCGTCACTTGTGGAGCAGTCGAGAAATCCATCTGCCCACCAAAAAAAATTGAGTATATTATGCAATAGTTTATTCTGCTTTAATCTAAGGCTAGGTCACTAGTATTTGATCATAGATGTATTCAAACTGTAGGTCGTACATTTCAATACTACTAAGTTAGTAATTCTGCGGTTATACACAAATTGCTAGGTAAGTATAATCTATCTTCTATTCTATGCACCCAGCTGTTTTCAGATTTTTGTAGAAGAAATTGTTGTTAGTGAATATATGCTTTCAGACAATAAACGTCATGTTGCATAGTAGAGCGAATAACATACACATTTCACAAGTCTCTTGATAATTTAAATGTTTTTAAGCGATTTCCTTCGTAGATTAATTTTCGTACACAAGAATCGTTTAAAACTAGTATAATATACATTGTGAACACTGTTAACTATTGTTAGGTGTCACTATGTACTTGTCATTACTCTATACACATAGCTCAATGGCTTGGCTTATCAATAATAACAGTTGGCTCAGTACTCAAACTGTTCCTAACCATTCAGGATTTTTAATAAGATTCCTGAATTGAGTTCCTTGACGCAGAAGTGTCATCTCATTTTGGATTCCAAAGTTTTAACAAACAACATCGTACTAATCACTGTCATTGAGGATTCATCATGCCAAACAAAATGTCACTTTATGATCAGTGATCTGATCATGAAGAATAAATTTGTTGGTACAATCCAATAATTTATGTGGCGCTTATATATCTTGGTGCTGCTTTGCACTGATGCTGACTAATCGATAGCGTTTTGTCAGTTCTCATGAGTATTCACTAACGCGATCACTATTTCAATGAAGGAAGTGTGTGCTGTTCTTTCAGATGTCATAACCTCAGACGTACGGTAGCTTCCCACAAACTTATCAAAGGATCATTAGCCTATGACATAGTTTGGCATTGCCTTTTATTGGTGAAACAATTTGCAAAGGTGGAAAACACGCTTTTATCGCAAGGACTTGATCATAATTGTCAAAATATCGTTCGGGAGTTGTGTTGTGTCTACAACGTAGAACTTTATACGTAATTTCATCGGTTGAAGTTTCTATTACCACACCTATGTAACCTTGAGTTAAAATCCAATAGTATTAGAGGTTTTAGTAATGAATTTATGCGCAAAATTCTGCCTAAAAACTAGTCAATCAGTGTTATAATTCTCTCTCTTTATTACAACCCAGCTATTCCTAATGCATAGTATTCTCGGGCGACAATTCACTCGAGACGTTCTCACCAAAATCAGAACACGGTGGTTGAACAGGAAATAGAGATTATATTCCAATAACAAGGTTAGAATGGAAGTCAGAGAAATCCAAAGGAAAAAGACGTTAGTCTATTTATAGTTTTCTTACATGAGAACATTCTAGAATGTTCCCTCAGTATCGACTAGCGCTGATTGGATAAGAAAGAGCCAATCAGCATGCAGCAACACAATCATGTCCCACTAACAGTCAGTCTTAATCTAAGTAGGACTTAGTTAACATTGCGTATAAGATATCAAGTGTTTAAGTACCGCTCATACAAACCGGATCACAGTAAACTACAATGTGAAAATATTTGGGTAACCCTTCTTTACCTTTAACTACACAGAAGTGCTTCATGATTAATCTGCGTCAACAATGGAACTGTGAGTCAAGTAGTTCAATATGTCGATGACTTTATTTAAGTTGGAAATCTCAGTTGCCTTAGTAGCTTGCTGTCTGACGGAATCTTAGCATAGATTCAGAAAGCGCTGTTGGCTTCCGCCAACTTCTGTCGCTTTCAGAGTAGGCAAGAACAATTATACTATTTAGCAGTCCATATGACCTTGATCTATCCGACCAAACCTCATTCGTGACTTCGGTAACTGGTCATTTTTATTACTGCTAATACTGTTATACTACCTCTAACTACTCAAGGATTATTTTTTCTTAAGAATTTCACATTACTGTGCTGCTAATCTATCGGGGACATTAGATTCCCAGAACTCACTTAAAAAAAGTTCTAATTTTGTAATTTCATTCAGAAATTGTGAATCCCATTATTTTCGCATCAAAGACGCTCGGTTGACCTTCAGCTTGTATTTCCCACTCGAAAAATCCTTGCATGTCATTGGTTGACGGATTTTTTGTAGTACTCTAATTTGTGGCTCTCACCAACGGCGTTGCTATCATTGTATAAATAAGCTTGATTTGTGTGTTTAGCAATCTCATTCTTACTGGGTGCCTGTAGAATACATTCTCTCTACGTCGTATTTAGACTACTTCCTCTATTTAGCGCGGCCTTGAGACAATCGGATTTTTAATACAAATGGAGCGGAAACCTGGAGAGCTACCAAAGCCATCATCCAGAAGATACAAGTGTTTATTAACAGTGGTCTACGCAAAATACTTCGGATTCGTTGGCCAGACACCATCAGCAACAAAGTACTGTGGGAGAGAGAACAAACCAGATTCCAGTGGATGAGGAAATCAGGAAGAAGCGGTGGAGTTGGTGGATAGGACACACACACTACGAAAAGCACCTAAGTGCATCACGAGACAAGCCCCCACATGGAACCCTCAAGGCAAAAGGAAAAGAGGAAGGCCAATTAGCACATTACGCCGAGAAATAAAGAAAGATATGAGAGGAATGAACAAACATTAGACAGAACTGGAGAAGGAAGCCCAGGACAGAGTTGGTTGGAGAAAACTGGTGGGCGGCCAATGCTTCATTTGGGGTAACAGGCGTAAGTAAGTAAGTAAGTAAGTGAGACAATCGGATTAGAATAGCCTATCATGTCACTCACTGTATAACAGCTGATCTTCGTTACATTTACCAAGTAAAGTGAACTTGTAGACAGCCGCAAGCATATGACCATTTGAATCGATCTACACATATTAATCACGTTCTACATTAGTTATTATTATTTAGACTGGCTTGCTAGTAACAACAGCAATCAAGAAAAAAAAACCCGGTGAACCCAGAAAAAAGAAGAATGAATTCTACTCAACAAATTTGTATTTTCGTGTGTGCGCGCGTGTGTGTGTGAATGTGTATACATGATGAGATAGAATGCATATGCAAGCACTGTATATGTACATAGAGTGATTGGTGGGTGTTTTTGGGTGCATTTCATGTATTCTTCTTCATCTTCATAGCTGTACGTTTTTGTTTACGAGTTTGTTTGTATTTTGGTTTTGATGCTACTGCAGACAATGTAGATGATTGGCCACGATGACGATGACGTTTTTTTGGACCGAAATGTTTCGGTAGTACAATGGATTTATGTGGTGTTTTAGACAAATGGACTTTTTTTGCTAATAATTTATTATTATCCGATTTAAACTTTTTAGAGATGCCAACGGTATTCGTTTTTTGATTAGTTCTGTTAATATTCAATGGTGACCATGATGATGATGATTCTGTGGTTTTAGATCGAAGCATCTGTTGATGAATCAATAAAGAGACAATTAACAATTAACTATGCGAAATTATAATGATCAGTTGTATAGACAAAAATATGTTGACATATATATATAAGTAGTTACATATGAACAGAATAAAAAATCTTAACTAATAGAATACATGTGTTACGTATGCCTAGCGACTGGTTGCCACGACAAGCAATGTTTTATGGTGTAGGATTCAGCTAGAAGAAAGCTGGATACGGCCACACCAAAATGAGGCACAAATCCATGAAGTCAGTGACAACTGGACTGAGCCATGTTAGATGTAGACTACTTGGTTCGGATCAGCAAGACAATAGTAACAGATGGTCAGTCAGTCAGATGCAACGTAGAACTTCGTACGTAAGTACATCAGTTCATGTTACCATACCACATCAGCACAGAGATGTAATTATCAATTCAAATCCAATAGTAGAAGAGGTAGTAAAGGTATTAGAAGTAATCGGAGAGGTTAGAATTAGAAGATACTATTCAAGAAGTATGATTCAGTGAGAGAAGTTTAGAAAATCAAAACTAGAGGTGTTGAAGAACTCAGAAGATTAGGATTTGAGAGAACACAAAGAATAAATGCACCGGCGCCATTGCCAACGATTTTGAGCCATGACATTCAAGGTCTCTAACCATCCCGAACATGCTTGCATTGTTGCTTAGGGTAGTCAGAAGACTCTGCATTTTGCCAGCATCTTCACCAAGTAGGAATATGTCATCGGCATTTTCTAAGTCAATAAGCGAGCTACCTGGTAGAAGGTCTACTCCTGAAAATTCAGACGAGGATAAGGTTATTTCTAGGAGCATGTCTATGATAAAATTAAACAAAAATGGGGAAAGTGGACATCCCTGACGGACACCACTTGATGTAGAGGATTCCGATGACAGTTCGCCATAAGCTCTCACTCGACCAGTGGTGTTTGAGTAGAGAGCTTGTACGAGGTTAATGTACTTATTTGGTACACCTTTCAATGACAGACACTGCCACAGAACCTCACGATTAACAGAGTCAAATGCCGCCTTAAGGTCCAGGAAAACAACTATTGTAGGACGCCTAAGTGTGTGTCTATGTTCCAGGACCTGTCTGAGTGTGAAGATGTGGTCTATACAGCCACGTCCAGGTCGAAAACCAGCCTGGTTTTCTCGAGTCTGCTCTTCACGAGCTTTCGTTAAGCGTCGAAGTATTATTGAGGCCAATATTTTAGATACTATATTAGTTAGACTTATTCCCCTGTGATTGTCACAAGAAGACTTTTGTCCTTTCTTATAGATTGGGACAATCAGTGGTTAGGGACCGTGAATGACATGGTTCAAAATGGTTTGCGATAGCGCAGGTGTATCCACTCTTTGTGTCTACTCAAATTCTAATCTTCTTAATTCCTAATCACCTCTAGCTTTTTAAATTTATGTCACTGGATTATACTTCTCAAATCAAATCTTCGAACCTGAACCTTCTCCATTATTGTTAATACAATGAGTATCCCTACAACTATTGCATTTAAACTGGCAATCGCGTCGCTGTACTAATGTAGTATTGTGGTGTGAGCTACTTATAAGTAGTATATGACGTGAGTGTCAACGTAATGTCTGGTGGCAGCAGAAGATGGGGGAAGACCAAGAGAAAGGAAGAGTGGGAACACAATGGAATTTGTATGAAACGCATGAATAGTGACAATGGATTGATGTTTTGCAACAGGAACAATTCAGTTCGATATGATGAACTGATATTTTGCAAATGAACAATTTACGATATTTTTTTTCTGATTTTACTGAGTAACTCTGTAATTTTCGATAAATATAATCCGGTTGCTCCACCTATGTTCTCGTTCACTACAGTATGACAACATGAACTGATGTACTTATGTACAAAGTTCTACGTTGTAGCTGACTGATTGATTTCTTAGTTTACTCACTTATTTTTCTTTTGAAGCAAAAACCCTGACGATACCGTCTAGACGGATGATGATAGCTTCACGATAAAATCCCCCAGCTAAGATTACAGAATTTGAACAAAATCATTCTCCAAAGTTACAAATCTTCTTCATCTCATCTCAAGTGATTCAATGCACTTCGACTGTACATGGTTCCGCAATCCATGTCCATTTTATTTCTAGAACATCAACCGACAGGTGACAGTGAAGCAAAATGTGAATATGAATTATTATTCATTTTCATACCCACAATACCGCGTGATAATAAGTTGATCATAGTTCGACTGTTTTATCTTGTTCCCGGGAGTCCGCAAATCATACATGATATGCGAGCCGCTGAAGATGGATGATAACACGATCTAATCGACAAAAATGTGTACAAGTGAAATACCTGTAGACTGCCTGTCGAGCACACACGGCTTGTTCCAGCTTTCGGACAAACTAAAAAACCTCTCGTGTTCAAGTCATTATTCACATGCCTTACGAGCTTGTCAATTATTCGCTTATAACCTTGGTTGCTTTTATTCCACTATGTGTATGTGCCGCTTGCTTAGCTTAATATATGTCTAGGTAATTATTGCTTGACCATAAATACTTAGTTATGCTTTTACGGGTATGAGGGCGATTTTCACTTCCCGGCTGCCCACACCGTGGAAGGTTGTTTCTTGAGGAACCTGAAAAGGAAGATAGATTAGCGTTGGTCTTAGAGACCTGGGAGCGTGACCGCAGAGTCCAAGGGACAACTGATTGAGGCCAGTCACGCACGGCCTTTTTATAGAAGGTTTTTTGAGTATTAGCCCGCTCTTTTCGAAAGCCCTTATTCGGCAACCCTTACTGACGGAGACGGAAATCCGTGAGGTAGGGGAGGTGTGACATTTTTGGGGTCGATCTTTTCTAACCCTTCCTTCTTTGTAAGGGGGCAACATCGCTGCAGACGCTGCTTGTTGTCCGAGGGAAACACCTTACTGCCGTCACACCTTTCTGCAGTACGACTTCGCTTTCAGACCTTGAGTAGCTGCTTTTAGTCCCATCGTTCTCCAATTGACCTGCCTGGCCTGGCAGAACCTTCAGGAACATATGTTCCAGCCAATATAGCTCGGTTGGGTCATCAGGATAGGCAAGCCCGATCGCCACGTCAAGGTAGCAGCTACCGTCGAAGCAAACCAAAACACTGACAAGTTGTTAGGATATTCATCCAATGTCCTAAGAGAATTACTTGTCAACTTTATGGACGTCCTAGATATCAATGTCACGTGCTCCAATGTTGTTTCTTATTGGTTGTCCTGACTATCAATGTCACTTCAAATGTTGCTTCTTATTGGTCATCCTAACTGTCAATGTCACAGACTTCGATGCTGTTTCCTATTCGAGCAAAATGTATAAATGCGCATTATGCAATCTATGACCAGGACCATGATCCGGTCCCGGATCCCTAGTCCGGGATCCTGATTCACTTATTGACTCGGACCTCGTACTTTTTGAATGCTTTTAGAATACATGTTCTACTTCATATCAAGTCTTCTTATTTTTACTCAATATGGGGGTTGGGATAATCGGATTTGAGTAGCATGTCGTGTCGCCGGATCCTCGATCTTCGCTCTCGTCTTCCGACTAGGTAAATTCGTAATAGTTCAAGTATATCAAGTTGACGTGTTTACGTGCAGGCGTAACACAAGTGGACTGAGTCATGTTGGAAGATGTCAACTACCCGGTTGGGGTCCGCGAGACGTAAGTTACCAATGGTTAGAGACCTTAAACGACATGTCTCAAAATCGTTTGCAATGGCACACGTGCATCCACTCTTTGTGTTCTCTCAAATTCTAATTTTCTGAATTCGTCATCATCTCTATCTTTCTCTTTCTAACTTTATCACATTGAATTATATCCTAATCTTCTCCATTACTGCTAATACTTCTACTATCGCTGCCACTATTGGATTCGAACTGACGGTTGCATCTCTGTGCTAATGTGGTAAGACAATCTGAACTGATGTACATAGGTACAAAGTTCTGTGTTTTATCTGTCTATTTAGTTATGCTTCATCAAATTGAAATGGCTCACTCGCCTTCTCTAATTCGCTTTACTTTGCTTTTACGATTTGTATTCTTATATCTGTCTACGTGAACGATTGCGAAACTGTATTTCGTTTCTCATTACTGCCGTCGCATAAACAGGGTTCGCCTAAGTATGATATACGGAAATTGAAGGAAAGATTTTTTTTTCATCGCATACTCGAACGTTCACACGAACTGGAATCAGATCGCTGGTCACTAAATACCACATAACATTAATTAATAGTAAGTAAACCCATAGATGAACATTTTCAACTCACCAAACATTTTTCAGCTCTTTTCTGTCTCAATTGTAACGCTTTCATGTTTTCCACTGAAAACTCAACGATTGGTCGCTATTGAATAGAATAACAAGAGAACAAACAGGAGAAGAGGGAGAATGGGTAAGTATATCTATTTTTGTAATTAATAAGTCTATTGAATAAATGTTAGATTTGATTTCCAAGCCATTTCTAATAATCTCAGGCTAAATCTACACAGAATACATCGATAGCACGAGATTCTAAAGTCCGAGCTAAGGAAGCCTGTTGCCCTATTAGACACAATGTCCGGATATTAAAAGCTTCAACATATAGTTTAGAACGGGATTTCATCAGATCAAGAATAACGTTTCGTGAACTTGAGTCGTTTGCATTAGCAGTGCATGGTGTTAAATGGATGTGAGAAGAGTGAGAAGTGAAGAGAAGAGAGATGTTAAGGGGGTGTGCTGTTACGAGTATGCGGGAGGATGTTACTTCCCAGCTGCCCACACTGTGAGTGTTTCTGACAAACCTGAAAAGGAAGGTAGATTAGCGTCGGTCTTAGAGACTTGAGATCGTGACGTTGTAACTGACTGACTGACTGACAGGAAAATCCAGAGAATTTATAGGATTCTACACGGCCTCGAGCTTCTGAAAGTTCCCACAATCTTGTTAAACATAGTACCGGCGTAGATAAATATCCAAAAAAGCTTTTAGCACGTGATTCTTCATTTTCTAGATATCTTTGTACGAAGGCCCTACTCAATGCTGATTGGATAAAATGTTTTTAGGTATTTTTTGAACCCCTGTAAACTTTTCTAATTAATACTTTGAAGCTACCAAACAATAGTTAGACAAAGTTTCATATTAAATCCACCCACCCGATAAAAAACCACAATGTATCAGTAAGTGGAATGGACATGACAAAAGTCATATAGTCTTGTATGTTTATCATAGTTAGATATATCTGTCTACCTAAAATCACTGACCAATCATATACCACTCTCGCTCCTTCTCCAAATGCCCTGGTACGGCAGAGAATGAGGAGAGTCTAACCACGCGAATATGGCTACTGCTAAAAACGTCCTACTCACTGCCTTCACGCGGAAAGGGTGTTTGTTGCTTATAAACTTGAAAGGACGAAAGGTGAATGTAAGTCCAGGGTGTAAACCGGATTGGTGCGTCTAGTAGGAGAATCGGGAAACCCTGATTCCAAATTGATAGTACGCAAGGAACGACCGGCGTCTTGACCTATTATTGGTCACTGGCTACCATGGTACCGCATTTGCTGACGTTGCTCCACGGACTTGTGGATTAAGACCTTTGAGTTAAAGGCTCGACGAGTAACCCCCCCGCCCTAATAAAATCACCTACTTCAGAGTTTGGCTTCTGGTCACTATCCTAACCAGCTCACACACAAATCCAATGATTTCTGTGGTGCATAAATATTTAAATACCCTTTTGTACCAATGTTTATGCGTTTAAATAATAATACGTCACAGTGATTGGTCAAAAACAATTCTTTTAAACAAATAACCAATAGAAATCACTTCTTATAAAGTATACAATAGAAAAACTTATATCACACTTACTCGATTACTTGGTGGAAATACATTTGGATTATTATTTAAACCATGTAATACACTTAATGCATTTTCATGATTATTCAATCCAACAAATCCATAACCTAATGAACGATATTGTTGTTTGCCTGGTTGAAGATTACGCATAATACGACACTGAATATATTATGCAAGCAGGGATAAAAATGGTTGAGTGTTTTTTTTTGTTTTCAAAATAAATAAACAGAAAGAAAAATTGAAAAAAAATAATTTTAAAAAATGTACAGAATTTTTTATTAATGACAAATAACTCTGCCTGGAGCCCTCCGTTCTAGGGTTACTGTCCGGTTCCAAGCCTGAAAATAAAGGAGAGGAGGGTTGGGCATGGTGTCGTTAGCCACCCCATCCAGTGGAAATTCAACTCGCTACACATAAAAAACGCTAACCAGAAAAATAATCTGCTCGTCGGCGGCAGCCTATGCTCTATTAGGGGTAACAGGCGTAAGTAATACTGATAAATAATTTGGCGGGAGTAACTATGACTCTCTTAAGGTAACCAGGTCTAGCTCGAAAAGCCCGCCTTGCCGACCGGGGATTGTGGATAGTGGATTGATTGGGGGGATCTTGCTGATTCATAAGTGCCCGAACGCGTGCTTTTTGGACGTCCACTTGTCTGCAGACCAATCTAGACAACATGGACGTTACCATGTGGGGCAGGGGTGATCGCAATATTGGCTCTTGTGAGAATCCTTGTGTTGCTTAAAATGCAACGGCATGCATGTGTAGCAGGCATGCTGGTTAATCAAGAATATAGAAGATGGTTTCAAACACAGAGTGCATTTAAATCCGTTGATCAATGAGCAGATGACCGCCAGATGATTTAGGAGGGCCTTATCAACATGGAAAGTTTAAAACAAACAGTACTACACGTAAATAAGTCTAGCTATATTACTATCTCAACTCCGTCTGGAGCCCCCTCCAGAGCTACTGTCAGTACCAACGCCGGATAAGAGCAGAAAGGTTGGGCATGATGTTGTTAGCGACCCCATCCAACCAGAAAAATATTACTATCTCAGATGATCATCTGTTATCAAGTATTTAATAACAGACTAGTGAGTCTAGTTGAAAATAACTTATTAGCCACATATGACCAACGATAAGAATAATGATTTGAAAATAATACTCAGGCTACATGATGACATGATAGAATGCAACCCACTTTACCGAATAACCTTTTGCAATGGCGCACAGATGCATCCATTCTTTGTCTTCTCTTAAATTCTAATTTTTCGAGTTCCTCATCACCTTTAACCTTTCTGGTTTGAAATTTATTTCACTGGATTGTACTTTTTGAATAATATCTTAAAACCCTAATCTTTCCGATTACTACCAATACCTTTACTACCTCGACCACTATGCGATTTGAAGTGACAGTTCCATCTCTCTGTGCTAATGTAGTATGACAACTGGAACTGTGATGTACGTACACGTACCAAGTTTAACGTTGTAGATAACTGACTGACCAGTAACCTATGTATTCACTACATTACTATGAGTTATCGTATTCCATTTACACAAAACTTTTCAGTCCATTTTCTTAAACCATATTCTCAGTGGTTAATCAGTATCTCAGTATCACTGCTACTACAATTATGTCGACTACTTTGTTATTCATCTTTAGAAATTCATCTCATGATACTAATGTGACATGAGAAAATAGACGTACGTACATCAGTTCAAGTTGCCATACCACATTAACACAAAGAGATCGAATTGTCAATTCAAATCGTATAGTAGTAAAAACAGTAGAAATATTAACTGCAGTCGGAAAGATTAGGGATCAAAGATACGATTTGAGAAAAATATCCCAGTGGAATAAATTTACGAAGAAAAACAATGGTCATAGGGAATTCAGAATATAAGAATTTTTGATGGACGTATTTATGACATTGTAAGTAGTTTTGAGCCATTCAAGGTCCCTAACCACCGGTTGCTTCTATCTCGCGAACCTCAACCAAGTAGTCTACACCTACCAACACAGCTCGGTATAGTTGTCAGTGACCTCATGGATTTGTTCCATGTTTCGGCCTAGCCATTACTAGCTATCTTCCAGCTCGTCGAAGCAGTCGGTGGTTGCGCATACGTCATATATGTCCCAAACACCTCAACTGATGAAGTTTCAATACTTCATCTGATGATCTGCCATCCCTACCTACGAATGTCCTCTACTCTCATCGGCCATGTTTCGCATCCATATAGTAGGACGGAGCGAACTGCTACGCAGTGGACTCATCCTTTTCTAAACAGACGGATATCTCCTCTACGCCATAAGTGACACAGGTTACCAAACACCAATTGAGACTTGTGTATCTGCGCTGGGATTTCGTCAGTCACCAGGTCATCGGCACTGATGAGACTCCCCAGATAAGTGAAGTGATCAACATGCTCAACTGTTTCACTCCCCAACACTAACTAGTTCAGGTGCCGATGCAAGCCAATCCGGAAGCAACACTTCGCATTTCGAGGTAAAAAAAATCGCATCCTGAACACGCTTGCATTGTTGCTTAAGGAGGTCAGAAGACTCTGCATTTTGTCAGCATCTTCAACATATTCCAAGTTAACAAATATATCTCCACGTAGAAGATCGACTCCTGAAAAAACTATTGTCTCCAGTTATCACCGAATAACAATTACCAATGAATATATATATATATATCGCTTTAAAAACCAACATCAAACTAATGCACAAATCAATTGAGCACAATTAAAATATACTACTTACTTCTAAAATTGGATGATTAGTAGTATTCTTTAGAAATTTTAAACAAGCCATCTTTAAATCATTATCTGTGATATGTAATGGTAAATTCCGTAAACACAATCGAACATCACTAATAAAATAATTTGGATTAGTTAATTTTTTCTTCTTCTCTTGTAATAATGCATCTCTTTTAGATAAATCTTCTTTACTTAAACCTTTCGCTTCCAATGAACCAGGACGAATAACTATAGAATGAACATACACAATGCAGTGGAATAAAAACTTCTTTTCGTTTTACTATATCAATTGATAGGGAAAGTAAGAAATTTAAATGGGAGCAATGTGTAAACATGTCCATTTGATATGCTTGAACTACTACGAGTTTACCTTAGACAGAAAACAGGAGAGAAACGATTGAGGATCCGGTGACACGATATGCTACTCTAGTCTGAGTGTACTAACACCCATTGAGTAAAAAGAAGACTTGATATGAAGTAGAACAAGTATTCTACCAGCATCTAGGAGTACAAGGTCCAAGTCCAGAAGAGAATCAGGATCTCGGACTAGCGATTCGGGTCGGGTCACAAAGCGTTACAGATAATGCATATTTATACAGTTAGGTCCAATAGGAACCAACATTGAAATCTGTGAGAATGATAGTCAGGACGACCAATAAGAAACGACATTTGAAGTATGTGATATTGATAGCTAGGACGATCATAATGTGGACCTGTAGTGCCTCCACATAAACTTGAGTTCGCTTACATCTAACTTGGTTAAGCCCTTTCGATTAACTTATATAACCATGCTATTTGTATAGCATCAACCCATATGTACCATTGGTATTTTTTATTATCTGGTTTGTATGAGCTTATACGACTGAGCATTGCTCAACGCCTACGCGCTTACTCATCCTTTTCGCTTTAATGTTAATCTCTTAATACCCCTATGAACACACGTGACTTGTCTGGCTTGCTTTTGACCTTGACAATCATTCGTCGCTTTTATTCATATGTGTGCATACCTATTTCGCTTGTCATATGTCTGTCTTATTTTTGGTCTGACTATATATTCTTAGTCCTGCCCTATCTCTTTGAGTTGGCTCTTAGCCTTCTCCAATTCGCTTCTCCGCTTCGCTTTGTGGTGTATCCCGAATAAACGTATTCATCACTACGAGTTCATGTTCTGATTTATAAATCGTCAGACGCTATTTAGTAACGATTGTCTGGACGAGTTATTTACCGAGCTTAAGAACACGCAACAAATCGACACACTACAGACCAGTAGGAATGAACCAATAGGAATTGACCAATAGAACTAGGATATTAGATGAATATCCTAACAGTGTGTCAATCACAACAATCTGCAGTGTGTACTAACATAAGTAGAGTCCATGCGGTTTGTTCTCAGGCCTTTGAATAAATCAATTAATTTATTTTTCTAAAGTCATTATTATTCCCACGTCTTTTGACCTTGTCCATGATTCACTTATATATTTTGATTGTTTTTATTTGTGTGTGTGTGTGTTTGTGTATGTGCCGCCTGCTTCGCTTGTTGCACTGAAAGCGAAATAGGTAAAGTGGTGCTTCAACATGCAACTCTTAATGGCCGAAATTCAAAAGTATATCCAACCAATGAGCCTAACCACCGACTACCTCGATGAGCTATATTTTGTGGTTTAGGAGTAGTTTGGAAGAAAGTTATGGGGGCGGCCAGACCAAAACATGGCAGAAATCCATGAAGTCACTGACAAGTGGACTGAGTCATGTTGGTAGATGTAGGCTACGTGGTTGGGGTCCGCGAGACGAAAGTCACCAATGCTTATAGACCTTGAACGGCATGGCTCAAAATCGTTTGCAATGGCGCCGGTGCATCCAATCTTTGTGTTCTCTCAAATTCTAATCTTCTGGATTCGTCAGCACATCTACGTTTGTCTTGCTAACCTTATCTCACTGAATTATATACTTCTTGAATAATATCTTCAAACCCTACTCTTCTTCACTAACATTAATACCTCTACTATCTTTATCACTATGAGATTTGATCTGACATTTGCTTCTCTGTGCTAATGTGGTATGGCAACACGAACTTACGTACATACGTACGAAGTTCTGCGTTGCAACTGACTGACTGACCAATGAGCAATAGCCACGCCGAAGAGAGATGTTTCAATCAACAATTTTGATACATTCACGGTAAAATAGTGCAAATTAAACATTATTTTTCTTCTCCCTAATTCAAATCAAATGAATAAACAAACTTAATGTCATTGCTAAATGGCAATTAAAACAATGATGATCGAAGTTCGCAATTCAAATATATTCACCTACCACCAGTGAATGGTCAGTTTTCTGTCAGTTAGTCAGATGCAACGTAGACCTTCGTACGTAAGTACATCAGTTCATGTTGCCATACCACATCAGCACAGAGATGTAATTGTCAATTCAAATCCAATAGTAGAAGAGGTAGTAAAGGTATTAGAAATAATCGGAGAGGTTAGGATTAGAAAATATTATTCAAGAAGTATGATTCAGTGAGAAAAGTTTAGAAAGTCAAAACTAGAGGTGTTGAAGAATCCACAAGATTAGGATTTGAAGGAACACAGAGAATAAATGTACCGGCGCCATCGCAAACGATTTTGAGCCATGTCATTCAGGGTCTCTAACCGTCGATTATTATCATCACGCAGACCCCAACCAGGTAGTCAACAACTACCGATATAACTCAATCCACTTGACAATGACTTCATACATTTCTGCCATGTTTTGGTCTGGCTGCCCCTAACTTTCTTCCAACCTACTCCTACACTACAAAACAAAGCTCGTCGAGGTAGTCGGTGGTTAGGCATACGCAACACATGTCCCAACCACCTCAACTGATGAAGTTTCATTACTTCATCTATTGATCTGCCATTCTTACCTAGCACCCGTTTCCTAATAACAGCGTTGCTCATTCGGTTGTCCCACGATACACGAGCAATGCTTCGAAGACACCTATGATCGAAAACCAGTAACTCAGGAATATCTTCTACTCTTACTAGCCATGTTTCACAGCCATAAAGTAAGACGGAGCGAACTAATGCAAACGGATATCTCGCCTACGCCATAAATGACGCAGGTTGGCAAAAGGCGATCGAGCCTTCTGTATCCGAGCTGAGATTTCGTCAGTTACCAGGCCATCAGCACTGATGAGACTCCCCCAAATTTTATCATTATGGATACGGGAAAAATCCGTAGTCATTTCAATGTCAATCGTCATCATCAATCCTAAGGTCAAGATATATCATGGAATTAGATGATAAAGTCACTAACTGGTGATCTCAGATAAGTGGAACGATAAAGACTTCCTCGTTAAGGTGTACGATTGCAACGACAGTAAGCCATTGTATCAAAAATGATCAACCTATATAAGCTGATAGTCAGTCAGCTACAATGTAGAACTTCGTACGCACACATATCGGTTCAAGTCACCATACCACATTAGCGTACAGACGCAATTGCCAATTCAAATCCCAGGTAGTAAAAGTATTACAGGTGATGGAGATTAAGGTTCGAAGATATGATTCGAGAAGTATATCAAAGTTAAATAAATTTGTAAACAGTAAAAACGGTCATGAGGAATTTAGATTAGAATTTGAGAGAATATAAACAATGGATGCCTCTATGCCATTACGAACGATTTTGAGCCACGTCATTTCAAGTCTACAACCACCGGTTACGATTGTCTTGCGGAAACTAACCAGGTAGTCTACATTTACAAACATGACTCAGTATAGTTGCCATTGACTTCATGGATTTCCGCCATGTGTTAGTCTAGTCACCCTTCGCTATCTTGCAGCTCGTCGAGGTAGTTGAAGGTTGGGGTATATGTAATACGTCCCAACACCTCAACTGATGAAGATTTACTGCCTCATCTATTGATCTGCAATCCGTACCTAGTACCATTTTCCTAAAAGCAGCATTGCTAACTCAACTGTTCCAGGATACATGAACAATCCTTCGAAGACACTTATGACCGAATACTGGGAACCTACGAATATCCTCGTTTCTTATTGACCACGTTTCACACTCATAAAGTAAGATGGAGCGAACTGTTGCTCAGTAGACTTGTCTTTTGGTTAGCAGAAGTATATCTCACCTACATCATAAGTGACGCAGATTGGCAAAAGTCAATCGAGACTTCTGTATCCCTGCTGAGACCTCGTAACACCAGGTCATTGCGACTTCCAAGATAAGTGAAGCGGTTAAAGTGCTCAACTACTTCACACCCTAACACTAGTTCAGAAGACTCTACAGTTTTTTCAGCGTCTTCAGCAAATAGAACCATATCATCGGCATATTTGAAGTCAACTAATGAATCTCCCGTTAAAAGTTCAACTCGTGAAAAGTTAGATGATGAAAGTGTCCTTTCTGTAGAAGCTGATATCACTAGAGCAATCAACATCACCATCGTATGAAACGAAACTACATCTTGTGTATACACGAAGATAATTCAACTTACTTCCAATAGATGCTAAATGTAAATTACGACCTTTTTGTTTGATAGCATCTGCAGGGCCAACAGACAACTCCTCAGGATCATCGACTTCATGTTTTCTTTTCCGTAGATTTTGTGCCTCCGTTCTCGACACAGCAATCGATATGTTTAAGGTTCGATTATCCAGTGAAAATTGATGAGCATTCTAAATTTTTTTTTAAAAAATAGATTAGTTGTCAGATGAGATTATTGAGTATATTATCGAAAGTGTCATGTCAATACAAAAAGGATATCGTTCAACTAACCTCAGGTTTTTCAGATTGTTCTAAGACAAATGTTGCATCGTCCACATTTACAAATTTAACAAAAGCTGAACCACGCGAATGTCGCGTTGCTGGATCTTTAACTATTTTTGCAAATTCTAGCGGTCCAAATTGTGAAAAGAATTCGTATAATGCCTTTTCGCTCAGGTCAAAAGATAAATTTCTGAAATAATATATGTACAGAGTGATGTAATATTTGTATTAATGACAATTATATTTACAAGAACATAATAAGTAGCAAAAACAGTCAACTTCAAAAAAGTACCTGGTATAGTCAGTCAGTCAGTCAGTTACAACTTAGAATTTCGTACGTACATACTTATGTACATCAGTCCCAGTTGCCATACCACGTTAGCACACAGAGACGTAATTGTCAATTCAAATCTCATAGTAAATTAGAGGTAGTAGAAGTATTAACAGTAATCCGAAAGATCACGACCTGAAGATATGATTCAAGAAGTATAATCTAGTGAAATAAACTTAAAAAGTGAAAGATATAAGTGATGAAGAATTCAGAGGATTGGGATTTAGGAGAACTGCAGTAAATGACCACTTAACAAGATGTCCAACGAAAAAAACTTTTTAGATCATTGAGAGAAAAAGTGCTTTGAAGTAACTCTATTGAAAAAAGACTGATAAAATGAAGATCGTTGTAGAATAGGCAATAAAACTGAAGAAACACGAAACAGAAAGTAATTCTTTCAAAGTTCTTTATGATAAAAAAAAGATAGAACTAATAACTTAATTTTCTTTACATCTCTTTGTTTTTAGGACGAGTGTACTGTGCAGCAGTTCGCTCTGTTCTCCTATATGGCTGTGAAACATGGCCAGTGAGAGTAGAAGATATTCGTAGGTTACTGGTTTTTGATCATAAGTGTCTTCGAAGCATTGCTCGTATACCGTGAGACACCCGAGTGAGCAATGCTGTCCTTAGGAAACGAGTACTAGGTAAGGATGGCAGATCAATCGATGAAGTGCTGAAACTTCATCAGTTGAGGTGGTTGGGACATGTATTTTATATGCCGAACCACCGACTGCCTCGACGAACTTTGTTTTGTAGTGTAGGAGTAGGTTGGAAGAAAGTTAGGGGCGACCAAACCAAAACATGGCAGAAATCCATGAAGTCATTGACAAGTGGACTGAGCCATATCGGTAATTGTCGACTACCTGGTTGGGGTCCGCGAGATGATAATAATCGATGGTTAGAGACCTTGAATGACATGGCTCAAAATCGTTCGCAATGGCGCCGGTGCATTTATTCTTTGTGTTCTCTCAAATCCTAATCTTCTGGATTCTTCAACACCTCTAGTTTCGACTCCCTAAACTTTTCTCACTGAATCATACTTCTTGAATAGTATATTCTAATCCTAACCTCTCCGATTACTTCTAATTCCTTTACCACCTCTACTACTATTGGATTTGAATTGACAATTACATCTCGGTGCTAGTGTGGTATGGTAACATGAACTGATGTACTTACGTACCAAGTTCTAGGTTGCATCTGACTCTGACTTTGTTTCTGATTGTTAGTGGGACATAGATGGATTTAAAGCATGATTACGTCACTACGCGCTGATTGGCTAATTTCCTATCCAATCAGCGCCTGATCGAAGCTTGGAGAACAGGATAGAAAATTCTCGTATTATTAGCTGCATGCTGATTGGTCAAATCCAGCCCAGTCGATCACGTGAATTTTCTTCCAGAAGTTTTCTCATGTAAAGGCTATAAATAGACTAGCATTGTATTTATCTTAGCCTTCTTAGCCTTCAAGCCTTCTAGCCTTCTTCGCCTTCAAGCCTTTTTGCCTTGGCTTTTGCCATCACCTCCAGCTTCTTTTCCTTGCTATTTTGGAATACAATCCTTCCTGTTCAACCGTGTTTTGATTTGTGTTACTTGTCCAGTGTTTTGTGTCAAGAATACTAAGCAATAAGATTTAGCCGGGAAATATCGTAAGCAACCGTTACAACACTGATCGTCGGATACAAAATATCGATGAATTGCTTCAGAGAAGTCAAGTATAATACACATTGAATGGTAATGCACCCTAATTTGCATTCATTCATTGTGTGGTCTCAAATTCTATCCTTCTGGATTCTTCATCACCTCTATCTTTCTCTTTCTAAAGTTATCTCACTGAATTATACTTTTTGAATGATTTCTTCAAACCCTAATCTTCAAGAGCGGAGCTAACACTCAAAAAACTTCTCATAAAAAGGCCGTGCGTGACCGGCCTCAAGCAGTTGTCCCTTGAGCTCTGCGGTCACGCTCCCAGGTCGTTCAGACCAACACTAATCTACCTTCCTTTTCAGGTCCCTCAAGAAACAACCTTCCACGGTGTGGGCAGCCAGCCGGGAAGTGGCAACCGCCCTCATACCCTTACCAGCACACGAGACCAAATTGGTCGAAATCAAATCCTTCCTACACCCCGTAATACCTCTTTTATCTCCACGACTAACTCTTCTCATATTCATTTACCACACTGCACAGCTAGTGCAAACGATTCGAATTCACGAAACGTCATTTCTGGTCTCCTGAAAACCCGCTCTAGACTACATGTTGGAGCATTTAATGTACGGACATTGTGTCAAATAGGGCAACAGGCTTCATTAGCTAGGACTTTAGAATCCCGCTCAATCGATGTGCGTTGCGTCTCGGAAACGCGCATACAGGATCCGAGTAGCATCAATCACTTGACCTCGCCATGTCAAGGTAAAGAAGCAACTCGATTTACCCTTCGTGTATCCGATAGTCCTGATGCTGCTTTCCGGCGTCTCGCTGGTGTAGGTATAGCATTGAGTCGTAGAGCTGAACAATCTCTCCTAGACTGGATCCCAGTAGATAGTCGCTTGTGCGCTGTCCGACTAAACGGAACAGTAAGGACTCGTAATGATGGGAACACACGCCGTTGCCTCTTCGTTGTATCTGCGTATGCCCCCACTGACTGCAGTTCAGACGAGGTGAAAGATAAGACCACCCTTAGAAACTTGGAAGCACTGGACGGCTGTTTTGTCCTGGTATGGGACTCATCAGCAATGCGCACCCGTTGGATGCAAATGACTGACTGACTAATCTGCTCCAATAATGGTAATACTTCTACTATCGCTACCACTATGGGATTTGAACTGACAGTTGCTGATGTGGCGTGGCAACCTGAACTTATGTACTCATATACGGAGTTTTAGTTGTAACTGACTGACTGACTGGGTGCGCCCTAATTATAATCATAGTAAATAGACCATCTTAATATATATCATGAAAACAACATGACATATACTCGCTAAACCGGTCAAATTCATAGTTGAGACAGATAGTGACACAAATTATATCAAACATAGAAGAGCGTTGTATATAGCATAAAAACAAAGTGGAAATACATTCAAATAATTTAAGTCACAAATCTGAGATGAATTTACTCGTTTGAAATTACTAACGCTGATACAAAGGATCACGTACTTTAGGTGCTACACATAACTGAATTAGTGTGGGCTGGCTAGGACACTGACTGGCAGCAAACCGAAACAGATGGTTGTATTAGGAGGCCACTTACAAAGCCTTTAACTCAAAGGCCCAACCCATAGGGTAGTGTAGCAACGTCAAGCGATGTGGTGTCAGAGTAGCCAGAGACCAATAAAAGGTCCAGACGCCATTCTTTCCATCAAGATCCAGGAACCTATGTATCCTATTGGTTTGGAGTAAGAGTTTCTCAACCCTCTACAAGGTGGATACCCTACACTCACCAATCCGGTTTACGCTCTAAACTTACATTCACCTTTCATCCTTTCGATTTTATACACAATACCCCTGCCATGAGAAGGCAGTGAGTAGGACTATATAGGCGTGGCTATATGAGAGCATCCTCAGAGGGAGAGCAAACTCTGCCCACTATCTGCCGTACCAGGGTAGTTTGAAATACGGCAGTTCAAAGACTAATTACTCAGTAATAAAAATTAAAAGCCTGAATTAAAATGTATCTGCACTATTCTAGCGACCGATTTTCAGTGATGCCTGTAAAGACAATGATTTCCAAATATAAAACAATACTTCCAAATGTAGTCAACTATTTTAACAGTAAGATCACAGATTTTAAATATCCTAACCAACAGAAATGTTTGACTAGTCAAAATAAAATCCTTCAAACGCTCAACATTCATCTGCAGATTGAGTGAGGGATATTTACAGAGTCAGGAAGTCAGTTGCAACGTACAACCCCGTAAGTAAGTAGATCAGTCCAAGTCACCATATCACATTAGCACAAAGATGCAACTATTAATTCAAATCTCATAGTGGTATATATACTAAGCTACAAAATCTCATATATTTTTAAAACTAAAATACTGTCAAAATAAATCGCAAAATAGATTTTAAAACGCTTTCAACACTTCCTGATGCAAACGATAAGAATAATACTTTTATGTATACTGTAAAGATAATGCTTGTAGGCTATGACGTCCTGTAGTATACTAGTTCTACTCTTATTATGTTTGCCCTAACGATTTACTTCCGCTGGCATTTTTATTGCATACAACGAATAAGTTCTAGTGAAACTTAAAAAGTAAATATCTGTTATTCAGGGCTTGGACCAGGCGAACGTAATACACTGTTAAATACCAACTACATCCAACTCCGCCTATCACCCCTCCGGGGCTACTGCGGTCCCAAGCACGGATAAAGGAGGGTTGAGCTTGAGGTTGGCGATCCCATACTGTAGAAAACTAACCCGCCAAAAATCGCTAACAATAAAAAATAATTCAAACCATTTTAACTCTGCTCTTGAAGCTAGAAGGTCTTCATTTAGAAGAGTTATGACGTCTCATGATGAAAGCCGAGTTCCCTCGGGAGTTACGAGGTCGACTCTCTTCCTGACAACCAGAGCGCTTACACGGTGTGAACACCCAGGAAGTGAAAACCACCCTTATACCCGTAAAAGCACACGAGACCGAATCGGTCACAATTGAATCCTCTCTACACCTCCTAATAACTCTCGGACTGACCAACTACATCCACATGTCCAACTAATCAGTGACAAAAAAACATTTGTCAATCTTTCTAAAGGTTCACACACTACAGTGATACATGGAAAAGTCAAGTAGGAGGTATTCACCATAAGCTGGAAGCTGAAAATCAGTTAGCCATTATCATATTTAAACCTGGGACATATATTCATCGATTTCAGTACGCAACTTACACCGACCAGTATATATTATTCCAACAGTCAACGACTTCATGGGCCTGCAAGATACTTTGATTCGGAATTTCTCTAACTTAGCTTACTTAAAACACATTCCTACACCACCAAACATTGCATGTTGAAGTAGGTTGAGGTTAGGCGTACATAAAGAAGGCCCGTCAACTCAGTTAGTAAAAATCCAAAATCGCTTTAACTAACTTACACTATGACTATTTCTCACTGTGGTTTGAATAAATGCAAGTAGTGCTTTGAAAACAAATATGATTTAACGCTCTTAGTATACTTTCGATCCTATAAAATAAAACTATCATCCGAAATACAGTTGAGTTGTTTTTATTCTCTAGTGGTTTGGATTCTACGACGTTTATAACATGATATTATTACTCGTTTTACGGGCTTCGAATATGTAAGAAGAATGCTGAATAATGTGTAGATGGATAAGAACCTTCAGCTAATTATAGGGTGACAAGCATAAGTAATCGCAGACATGTTAACATCGAGGGAAAAAAAATTTTCTATTGGGCAAAGGAACTTTGGTTCGGTGTTGACATTTATCTCAGGGAGCAGACTATATATTTTGGGGAAATGTATATATAAATCCAATCTCAATGAAGCCAGAGCACCAACATACAATTTAGGTTAGTCATTATCATTTTCATACCAAAAAACATACTCGTTAATTTTCATTAACAAAAGTTATTGACACTAAATTTTAAGCAAAAGTAACAGATCTATGTTACCTTATGAATATCGTTCTACCCTCGGATGTATCAGACGTCATTAGTTCTTGAGTAGCCTTGAAATGACCTCAAGGACGTTTGGGACTAATGTAGCGTAAATTTTTGACCAGTTTCCACGTGTCCCTTCTCAATCTTCAGTGGCAAGGATGGGACTTATATTAATTCTTAGAATCTGAAGTACTGAGAAGAAATCATCTCTCTCTGAATGTCACAACAGGTTGTTCTACTACATATAATGGTAGAAAATTCCAGTATTTCACCACTTAGTACGAGCAACGGAACCATTCTGTGTAATTAGCACGAAAATCCTCATTCATCGTACAGTAACCAAGAACTAAAGCATCACGCAACCTGAATTAAGATAACCGAAATAAGTTGAGGCACCTCATTGTTTTTTCATAGATAGGTCAGGGAGACCCAACGCTCTTTTCGTCTGGCTCAGTTTAACTTGTTCTCCAACACCCACTTCATACTTCAAACAAGAACTTGCTTCTTCAACACCATATTACAAATGAAAAGCTATCGAACTTCGGGTACACCACTGTGATAGATACTACTTGGAAATTATCTACTTAGGCCTGTTAACCTTAATGGAGCATGGGTCGTCAACCAGCATTCTCCAACCTTCTCTGTCCTGGGCCTTCCTTTCTATATCCGCCTAACTGCTCTTCGTTCTCATGGTGTCATCATTTCCCTAAGCAATTTACTTTTGGGTCTTCGACTTTCGCCTTAAGGATTTCGGGCGAAGGCTTGTCTTGTGGCGACTTTTGGTGCCCTCCCCAATGTGTAGACTATACACTTATAGCTCATCTTCCTGATTTCATACGCAGGAGGAATCTGTTTTGTCCTCTGCCACAATAGATTGTTGCTACTGATGTGTTGCCAATGGATCCGAAGTATTTTGCGTTGACACCTGTTAACCAACGCTTCTATCTTCTGGATGATGGCTTTGATAGTTCTCTAATTTTCCGTCCCATGCAGTGGAACTGTCTAGATATTTGTTTCTGAAATTATGACTTTGGTGATGGTCGATAGTTGTTTTGAGTACTGTATGGTCTTTTACTGTAGACGTTCCACCCTTGATTGACGATCTGTGCCTTCATATATGTATCGAATCCACCTTTCTTGTCCGCGATGCTGCCGGAGCTTCTCCATCAAGTAAGATTATATTACTTGCAAGATGGGTTCTAATAAGTATAGTTCAGTGTTCCCCAGGAATTTAATACTGAAGAAAAGAGTGACATGTTTAACTCATAACGTAGTCATGGTGTTTTGAAGGCCAGAAGAAACATGAAAGAAAATAGTCATTATTGTGATTCCTTTGAGAATGGAAGTCTGGAGAAGTTCATATATTTCGTTAGTAAACTGTCTTCCATAAAAATATCACTATTACACCTAGTATTAATGTCTTCGTTCACTAGATTACCCTCAACGTTTCTTCATTCGAGCCAGGGAATGACTTACACAGAGACTATGATACCATGAAGACTTTGGCAGCGGTACTCTCACAGTTATTCGTAGTTCCAAGTTAAATGCTTACTGCAACTCTTTGATTGTTATATTCTTATCTTAACCATTGTATTTGGGTTGTCCTGTAACATTATGTTATCTGACAAACAATATGTGACATTGTACGACACATGTAAATGTAGGAATGGTTACTTCGATGCCGTAAGTAAATTAATCAAATAAGTTAGAAAATAAATAGGGTCAAGGATCGTATAGTGAGGAATTTTGCCTCTAACATATTTCTATTTTGACAAAGCTCTTTTTACCCTTATCGGTGATCACCTTTCACTGTGAAAGCTACTTACGCGGTTCCTAAAGTCATGATGGACACCACAATTTTCCAGTTTCAGCTTGAGACTCTGAGTGAGAAACCTTGTTGAGAGCATTTACATAGATCTCTGAAAATCGCATATACCAAGATATTGCTACTTCACGCCGTTAATCTACTCAATGATTGATCTTTCACCACCATCTGCAGAAAGCCTTTCGCTCAAATACTCCGATAAATCCCAAGCTTTTCTAACACTATGTTAATGGATCTTTTAGAGTTAATAGTGGAGGTATATCTTATACTTTCCGAGTGAGCACTTATTTTTACCAGAATAACAATTTCAAACTCCGTGCACAATCCACAACCAATTATTTATCATAGGAAACTGTAGCCTGATTTATCAAACCTGTGAATGAATTCCAAGTCCAACATTAAGCGAATTAATGCCATTCAGAACCTGCAGAGTTAATCGTAATCCAACACCGTTTCATTCGGCTGAGGAAGCTTTTTGACCCGGTTAGTTATCTATGGTCTACGTAAAACTAAGACCTGACTGGACCCGGTGAGTTGAAATATTACCAATCTGATCAGTGTGCAGCTTATTTGATATTATAAATTCAGAACTCGGTAGTGATACTTGTACCACCCTTTTTCAGTTGATATGACATAATTCACTGACCACTTCATATTTACAGCATACTATTGTGTGACTGTTGCGCTTGCTCTCAAAACACTTGGTTGAGGTTCAGTCTGATCGTGCACCACGTTACAAGCCCCAAACATCAACTCTAAAACACCATGGTAGATATTAGCTAGCTTTTTGAAAATATTATGACAGATAGTATCCTTGGTAAATGAGTGATTACTAGATCCTTGGTTTTAATCAAAACTTGTGCGTTCGGATACCTGATTTTTCAAAGTATGTTCCACCAAAATTCACTATGTTGGTGGGTTTCTTTTCTACCTAGAAGGATCTTCCGTTGCATGCCCTATTAAAGAGACATACCGGGCCTAACTCGAATGTCAGAATTATCTTGAGGCACTAGATAGAAAGAGATGCATTTGTTTCTCTTACCCTAGGATTACCTTCAAGAGTCTAAGTAGCTGGTCCACAGAATTTTCTTCAGCTCTCCTACAAATTCCATTCATCTTTTACCTATACTATTTTTGAACTATAGTAGAAGTCGATATAACGAGCATTTTCGGAAACTACAGAAATACTGGTAAGGTGTAAGCCCTGGGGAATCCTTGTGTTTTTGTCACCAGTAAGTAATGGACTGGAGGCATCAGATTCGGCTGGTCAAAAACAGGAGGAATAGAAAACTGAGCCATTACTAATTAGAAAATATTTTTCACTCAGTACAGTGTAATGAAAAAGACTATCTTCAGGAATCCTTGCTGAATTGTTCCTGGATTGCTTATAAGTGCACGTAAATGTCATTGCTCTTGATTCCGTTGTATTCTGTTCAAAGTTATAAAACCAGTTTTCTGCGTTTCAGTAATATACTACCTGAAGTTTCACTAAATATATTCAATCTGTCTTATTAACACACTGATAGATATTGTACGAATGATGTACAACAGAAATTGTCAGTCAGCACTCACCAATGTGAGGAATTTCTTTCGCTATTAGGGGGTTACTAGTTATCAAAAGCGATAATAATGTTAAGTTTAAAGAATAATTAAAAATTCCGATATCAAGATAGAGATCGAGAAACTTAAAAACGAAGATGACTTCGTTGTGGAGATATCCCTAATATCATTCGTTTAAACCATGTATTAGCCCACTTGACAAGGTCGAGAGACTTTTAAAATCTTGACAGTGGGTAATTTTTTAGTCACTTTTTTTTCTTTCACTAGTAAGTAAAAGGCAGCGAAAGTCCTAATAAGTTTTCATAAAAATTACTACTGAATACAAAAAGACGTCGAATAAGTTCAGGAACAAATAAATATCTTCATTGTAATATCGTTAGAGAAACATAGTAAACGGATTAGTTTCGCCTGTAGTAACCAACCGTAATTAAAACACTGTGGGTTTTAACGTACCATAGATCCCATGTAACTTTGTGAATACCGGTAAGTAATTTCGAAGACATGAAGGTATTATGCTTCAGCGTGCCAGCTTTTGAAATGGTTTCATATAATATTTAGCTCAGACAAATTTGAAGTCTGATTGACCAGTAATAAACCATTTCCTGACTAATAAGTTTTGTTACATACTTTAGTGTGTACTGCATGCCGCACACTTGCCAACCTCGAGAATTTGTTTTCGAAATCTTTCCCCGTTAATTTAATCAGTATTTTTGTTATTGTTTAGGTATAGGACTGCAAATGATTGTCATTGCTCGTAGCGATCGTATGGTGAAAACTGTGATAATGAAGATAATACTTAGCGTCCCTGTATTCACATTAAATTATCTTGACAATGTAATTGTCTTAAGTTTTGCCTGTCATCTGAGGATACAAACGTTTAGACCTAATCCACCCAGAGATCTATGATGTCAGTCGGTATCATGCCATTAGTCTACATAGCAGTTAAAATGCTTTATTCAAGCTTGTTTATCGAAACTGAAGACTGCTTAAGATCTTTGGACCCATCTTGGTTTCTATTAAATGACGATATTATTAAAATATATGTCATCATCGTTCAACCGTCGATCATCCGAATCATGATTGGCCAATGACCGTCAGTCATATCATTCATAGTAGCATACACCTTGCAGTTTCATTCTCATCAAATAATTCTTGATCATTCGATTCCGGAGATGCAATCCATCTGGTATTGGTGATTTTCCAGGTTTGAAGTTAGTGAAGATCTAAAAAACCATCTTCCCAAGTCACAAGCAATAATCCCATAGCTGTTCTATCGGTAATGTAGATGTTATTGACAGCGGGATGGACAAAAATGTAACAGCCTTGAATGCTATTTTTCCTTAACATAGCAATTTGTCAAAATGACGGTTCCTGACTGCAAGCCCGACCGAAGCTGCTACCCGACCGAAGCTGCTACCTTGACGTGGTGGTCGGGCTTGCCTATCGTGATGACCCAACCGAGCTATACTGGCTGGAACATATGTTCCTGCAGGTCCTACCATGCCAGGCTGGTCGATTGGAGAACGATGAGACTAAAAGCAGCTACCCAAGGTCTGAGGGCGAAGTCGTACTGCTGACTGCAGAGGGGTGTGACAGCAGTGAGGTGTTTCCCTCGGACAACCAGCATCTGCAGCGATGCTGCCTTCTCACAAGGAAGGAAGGGTTAGAAAAGGTCGGCCCTAAAAATGTCACACTCCCCCTAACTCACGGAT